CCCCCTCCCTTCTCTCAACGATATCCCAACTTCCCCGATGGCCTTTGGGCCCTTTGGTCCCTTTGGCCCCTTTCCCTGGCCGGGCCCCGACCCCCCCCCCCCCCCCCCCCCCCCTTCGCCATCATGGGGAATGTCGCCAGCCGCCTCGACGATGCGGGGAACTTGTTCTTCAAGGATCAGAATCGCTGTATGTGGAATCGGATCGCTGGAGGATCTGTGGACTGATGAATTCTTTGTAGTCTCGATCGCATCGGTCACAATAAGCAACCCTCGGCGTCGACTTTTGAACTTGACCCCTAATGCGTTCCCCGCGGTGAGATTCGCTGCAAAGCGCGACGTCGGTGACGAGACTCCGATTGAATACATCCAGGTGCGCAGTGCGAAGACTTCTAGGCTCGTGCGCTGGCTGACTAGACTCCCACACCTAGGACCCCGACACCCCCCTCTCCGCTTCAATCCCGACTTTCATGCTGCGCCTGTCCAACGACGACGAGCTGATCTTCAATTTTACTTTTATCATCCGTCAGACACAGATCGGGAACGCTGCAAGCTCCACTGTCAATGGGGTCGCAACCTCGATGCCCGAGGTGGCAGATACCAATCTCACGGGGTTGACGTTTGCTCATGCGTCTAACTCCAAAGAACTAGATAATCTGATCACGAGAGAATTCCATGCGAACCCGAACCTCCAAAATAACTCGAACGTCCAGTTGATTGGAGACTACTCGACCGGCGGGACACCCTCCGTGACCTTTGACTGGTCCTGGTCCTGGAAGCCCCCAAAGGCGATGGAGGACAAAGGGGGCGGCTGGCGCAACAGCTGCAGCTTCTTGGACTATGATCAACGAACTAACCGCCTCAACACTCTTGCTCACTTCTCCTTCTGGGTACACAACTCCCCTCGCCTCCTCCCGAGCCCCAGCCCCCAGCTCAGCTCTCCGAAACTCGAACTACCAGTCCTCCCGCGCTCCCGTATCCCATCCACCCAATCCGTTGCTTCGCATTACAGCGATGCAGAGTCGACCTACAACGAGATTGCTTCGCCAGAGCCGACCGAAAAGGCATTGCCTCCTCCGCCGACCGCACCCCCTCCCCCACCACCGGCCAAGGTCGATCTCCCACATTCGCGGGCGGGCGACGAGATGAGTGGGGTGGAAGATGGGCCCTTGTTCCGAGCGACCATGAAAGCTCTGGAATCGAAAACAACCAACATGCGAGCGAAAATCAAGAAGGTGCTCAAAAAGGCCGAAGGTGCACAGCAAGCGCAAGCAAGCTGCAATGAAGCCGTGGAGGCCTTCTTGGGCTCGTTGAATGACGCATCCACATCCAATGCGAATGCGATACAGCCCGCATTAGACCATTACTTTGAAAAGATTGCTCGGCAGATCCTGAAATACGAACAGCTCAACACACTGCAACTTCAGAAGCTTGTCATCGAACCTCTGATCAAGCTTTATCATAATGATATCAAACAGGCAGAGGCCAAAAAGAAAGAGTGGGATGAAGAAAGTCGCGACTACTATGCATATGTCAGCCGGTACCTGGGTCAGCGCCAAGATTCCCTGAAGGAGAAGAAGCGTGCCGAGAGCGATTCTAAGTATCAGGTAAAGCGACGGAATTTTGAACTGAGACGCTTCGACTACTCCTCTTTCATGCAAGACCTCCATGGAGGTCGCAAGGAACAGGAGGTCCTCTCTCATCTCACTAAGTATGCCGACTTCCAAGCCAAGAACTTCTTAGCAACCGCCAAAAATGTCGAATGCATGACTCCTCAGCTGGATGCCCTCATTCATGAGGTAACTCAGGCGGACAAAGAGTTTCAATTTCAGCGCACAGAACGCGAAGAGAAACGACGGGCCTTGGAAAACGGCAGCAACCCGTATCTCGAACCCGATGCGGTGGCTGGCGCAACTGTCGCGTCTGTCGCGTCACCTGGAGTGACCAATGGTGGCACTTCCGAGGTCGAGCTTGGCCGTGCCGACAGTACAGGCTCGCAGCTTCGTGGCGTTATCAGCAATTCATCGTCAGTTTCGTCCCAAGCAAACGCAGGGTCTGTCGCCTCGGCTGCAGGGACTTGTGCGCCTGCATCCAACCCGACGGCGGTGGGAACACCCAGTCAGAATCGCTTCAAGGGCATCCGTGACTTAGAGGAGCAGACAAGTCTTGGGTCCGATCGGACCGGTGGCCAGCAGCGGAAAGAAGGCCTTCTATGGGCGTTATCCCGCCCTGGATCACATATCGACCCCAAGGGTATCAACAAGCAGGCATGGCATAAGTAAGTCGAGTTTATAAGATATCCTGGAGGTGGCGATGTCCTAACATTCGACAGGTTTTGGATCGTTCTGGATCAAGGGAAATTGTCCGAATATAGCAATTGGAAACAAAAGTTGGACCTGCACATGGATCCAATTGACCTGCGCATGGCCTCTGTGCGTGAAGCTCGCAATGCAGAGCGACGGTTTTGCTTTGAGGTGATCACACCTCAGTTTAAACGAATTTATCAAGCCACGTCCGAAGACGACATGTCGAATTGGATTCGGTCCATCAACAATGCCCTCCAGAGTGCGGTTGAGGGCCAGGGGACCCCGCCTTCGTCTTCGTCTAGGAACGACCCTCCCAGCCGGGATATTGGTTCCGCACTGACAGGAAAAAGCTCCTCTGTGTCTGGGCACCACGGCTATTCCAACTCTAGCTCAAGCAATAGTGGTGGCGTGATTCGCCGAACCACTGTCGGTGCACGCCCCAGCTACGTCCGCCATGACAGCAACAGTTTCGAAGAGAATCCCGCGAGACTCCTCCAGGTCATCCGTGATGCAGACCAGGGCAATAACTGGTGTGCCGATTGCGGGTCATCATCCAAGGTCGAGTGGGTGTCGATCAATCTCGGAATTGTGCTTTGCATTGAATGTAGTGGAATCCACCGCTCCCTAGGCACGCACATCTCCAAGATTCGCTCACTCACCTTGGATGTCCACTCCTTCTCCAATGATATTGTTGAGATCCTTCTGCAGATCGGCAACCGCGTTAGCAACATGATTTGGGAGGCTAGCTTGGATCAGGCCTCCAAACCGAACGCCAGTTCCACGCGCGAGCAGCGCTTGAAGTTTATCACAGCCAAATATGTCGACAGAGCCTACGTTGAGAGTCTCCCCTCTCCGCGCTCCAGCTTTGCGACGCCCAATGAACACATGTTGGCCTCCATCAAGAAGAATGATATCGTCGGCGTACTCTACGGCCTCGCCCTGCGCGCGAACATCAATATCACCGACCGTTCCCGCAACACCCACGCCACATTCCTCGCTCTCGCTGCGGCAGATCCTGCATCCCCAGGCTCAACCCCAACCTCTACCTCCACTTCTCTCCCCCGCACGCCCGCAAAAGCAACCCCCTTCCCCGTCGCCGAATTGCTCGTCCAAAATGGTGCGGAGATCCCTCCCCAGCCTCCCTCCATCCCCCTCTCCCCTGCCGCCCGGCTTTACCTCAGCCAGCGCACCGCACGCACTTCTGCTTTCAGCGTTCCGCCCCCGCCTCTCGGTGGAAAGCCCTCTGCCAACGATACCCTTGGCTCCCTCCCTACCATTCGCAGTAAGGAGCCCGCGCACACCCCCACTCTTGCGGAAAGCAGAGACAAAGATCGAGAAAAACTGTCGAAGCGTGGCAGTGCCGGTGCGCGCTTTGCTGGGAAGGTTGCTTCCCTTGGCATCGATCGCTGAATTGGCTTTTGTCTATATTCGCCCCTTAATCGTAATTATATTGGGCTTAATGAGCTTTGCATGAACATTCCCCTTGAAGATGACCTGTTATGTTTGATCTTTGACTGTCTTTTCTTCGCTATTGATACAGACCTGGTCCTGCATAGGACTAAATCCCAAATTCGGGACTGACTTGCCTTTTCCTTCCTCCAGTACTCGCTCCAGTCTACTTCGCACACCAACTCAACCTTATCTCTAGATCTGAGTGTCGGCTCCCATCATGGACCTGCTGGTGTTAGACGAAGCGCAATATTACCCAGGTGCTGAATAACTTCAGACGTACAACTTGGAAATTTGATCCTTGAATATATAGGTTTATATGTACTCCAGGTGGTACCTAGGTACTTTCGTTGATCTATACCTACCTAGGTACCTACCTAGGCACAGCTGGAGCCTATTTACCACCTGGCACCCCAGGTAGCTCATGTAGAGGGTACACCAGAAAGAACTTCGCTGTTGCCAAGTCAGCTCTGGAGCTTTCTCCAGGGCCGCTTGAAGTGTGCAAATTCTACAGCCCCCCGGAGGAAACTTTCGGTACAATGGATATATCCAGCCCCGATGTTTACTCCAAGGTTGTGCTGTCATCCAGGGAAGTTTTTGCTCGCTCTCTCTCTCGCTCAATTCAAAGTCTGCAGACTCCCCCTACATACCTTCCAAGGCTGTTCCAAGGTGACCACGTGTATCATGCAGATACCCCTGTACATGTACTAGTACTGGTAACCTCTGATGTCGCCGTCCCCCGTTGGCGTGCTCACTCGTTCTCTCTTTCGCCAAATCCAAAGTCTACATTCACTTGTCCCATGTGCCGGGGGGAAACGAAGCTGCCTGCGAGTGGCGATAGGTTCAAGCCTCCACCGGAGCTGACGATAGTCTCATATGACCCATTGCACCGCCGTGGGGCGTGGCGTCTAGCGGTGGCCGAGGGGGGCAAGACTTGCAGTGCTCCCACGGGATAGTGGCACCTAGCTTGTCAATCGTAGACAGGGGGGCCCATCCACTCGCCCTCCGTTAGCCTACAGGGATAGGAGGTAGAACAGAGGATGCGGTGGCTGTGTGGACTCATGCAACAGACTCATCATAGCAAAACCCTGCTGATCTCCCAAGGATGCTATGTATTAGGAGTAGTACTGTACTGTGCACAGGATCTGATACCGGTCTTGTTGTCCAATCATCCGAAGGCATCGGGCGATTGTGCCAAGTACTTACAGTATAGTACTCCGTACACTCCTGGGAGATGGCGCTTTGAGGGTCATGTCTGAAGACCAGTGGGGCTAATATGAACGCGAGGATGTGGTTCCAAGCGGTCAACGGTGTCGGATAAGTACGAGTCCTACTCCGCAGTGGAGCGAGACTTCAATATTGCGATTTGCTATATCTTGTGGACTTTTGGAGTCAGGCCCGGTGGATAGCGTCGAGTCATAGATCACCGTGGATGGTCGATCGGAGGCTGTGGTTGGTGCAGGATCAGGAACACCTGGCATGGGGGCGTATGACGTCAGAGTGGCGCCTGATTCTGCGGGTGTCTGCGCCTTTCCGGGATCTTCTCCTTACATCATTCTACCGTTTCGTCCGTCCACGCACATCTTGGACTGCAGGATGTCCAGTGCAACGCACAGCCGATCCGACGGTTCGACAGGAAGTACTGGTACTTGTACTCGAGAACGTTGTCCTCTGTGGGACCTAAAAGGTCCCCCTTGTCCTCCAACAATGCCACATACCACATGGATACTGGACACTGTCCACATCCCATGTAAGGTACAACGACATGCGGTAACAGCAGAGGGTCCTGTGGCGGTCGCTGGTAGCTCTGATTGGCGGTGGACTTGTCGAGTCTCTTTTCACATGGGTCAGTAGATGGAGCATATCGTAATTTCGTGCCAGAACGGATGAGGATGTCCCAGACGTTCCCAGATGTTTAGAGATGAGGAAGTCCAGAGGGCATATATTCCAAATAGCCGTGTATCTAGTTGGGTGTGATTGGCTGGCTTGGTTTGCCGGCCACCTGGGCACCTCAGGTCATCCAGTGGAGTTTCGTTTCTTCAACTTCACTACTCGTTTTTTCGTTTTCGTTTTTTGTTTCTTTTTTTTCGTGTTCGCTTCTTTTCTTTGTTTTTCGATTCGTCAGTGTCCTTGCCCCCTTTGTGCTGGGTTCTGGCGATCCTTTATGATTGGTTGGGGATGACCCTTCCAACGTCGTACCTTTTGTCTTACCTTCGACTCCACTCGGCCCAATGTCAGTTCCTGAGGGCTTCCCAGCGACTTGGTTTGACCCTGTGTCTCGGGATAGTCTTGAATGCCTATCGTGATACCGCTGGACACGCGCACTCCGATGTACAGCAAACATCAACCATGAGCGGGAACGGACTCGCCAGATCCAATGGGCGCCATCGCAACGGATTCTACATCTAGTATGGAGGTCCTCTTCACCTGCCCGAATAGGAGAACGATCGGGGCGCATCTCCCAATACCATTGGTGGGATCGTGATCGAGTCTAGTGGGAGCGTACCCAAACCGGCTCCATCGGCCCAGAGCTTCCCCTTGTGGTCGAGAGGCGCCGGATCCAGAACCCGCTCCCGAGTCTGATAGGCTGTCCCGCTAGCCTTATGCCAGAGGTACAGTACATATGTACATGGATTTTCGCATTCTTCTCCTTCCACGCATGGCCACGTCTGGGCTATTCTACATACTCCTTTTGACGGGGTTCTCTGGAGCTCTAAGGCGTTCTCCTTTCTTGTCGCGCTTTCGCTCTGTCGCGATTGTGTTGTGCGACTGTCGAGGGTTCCCCGAACGGTGGCAAATCTGTCATGCATTGCTGCCATAGGCCCATGATTGGCCCAGGTCCGAAGAGCCTCTTCGGATAATATACAATTTCTCACAGGTCTTCACCCGCCCCACGGGATCCATCAGTACCAAAACAGTAGAAAAGATCCTCGCGATCTACATCGTACGTTTGCCACACGCAGATGACACGGTCCTCGGACCACTTGCACAAATCATTCCTATCTCCATGTGGCTTGAAAATCCACGCCTCTAATTTGAGCATCCCTTGCGGTGGTGCGATATGGACCCCAATGACAAATTGCAAGAGGTCACTCTCCGAGCCTTTTGTACATCGGGGCTCCCGGAAGGTCGATCTACAATGGGCTCCAATGCCAGGTCCTGTCTCTCGCCCACTGAACGAATAACAGTGCTACACACACTGCTCGGAAGCGCACGCTCGGATACTCCGTACCCTGCCAGTATGTACATACAGTATTCACTGCTCTCATCCCAAGGATCCCCAAGACCCACGTCGACCTCCATTGCCGAACCCATTTCCTGAGCGCCCTCTACCAATCGGTTCAACCCGTCCCGTTCTCTTTATATTCCCCTCCCCCGTCGGCCTCGTTTCTATTTCAATCTCCGTCGACCCTGTGGCACCAGTCAACATCCGGTCTCCAGCCACAAGAATTGAGTGGCGTTGGGATCTTGCGCCGTATAGATCCACCGTCTCCATTCTGATCATGCTGTAGTCATATATATACTCGGGTGATTCGGGTCTTCTGACGAGTTTATAGGTTCGGGGTATAACTTGAGATTCTGGGAAATTGGCTGTGCGCAGTTCACCAGCCACATCGTTTCTCGACTGCCCTGTGTCTAGACCAAGCAGTAGCACGAGTGCAGAACTCTGAAACAGGTATGTCGACATGTCTTTTCCTCTGCCCAACCCCCCCCCCCCCCCCCATCCCGCGGTATGTTTCTTCCCTGTTGATATCAACATTGTCCCACCGTCTTTTGTGTATTTGCCTGTTTTTTTTCCCAGTTTTTATTTTTTGGCGATTTATTTCTCGTCGGCTTTAGGGGGGGCTTAGTGCGTGTCACTACCCCCCCCCCCCTTCAATTTCCTCCCACAACTCCCTTTTTCGATCGTGGATTCCCTCCCTCCCCCTCCATACGTGAACTAACATACATCTAGCGCTGACGGTTGTCTTGCGAAGCTATCACCTACATAGGGATATAGACTTGGCACAGGTAAGGATTTAGGGTGGTACTCAACAGTGAGACGCTAAAGCTTGTAGACTTACAGTCTCAACGGCCCTCATGGGTCATGTTCCTTCAGGCAAGAAAATTGACGGGAACTCCCCGAGATCAGGAACCGTGGCCGGTCAGTCAGAAGGCATCGACACCAGGCCATTGACTCACCTGTCCGCAGCACCTTCTGCTCGACCTTCAATCGAGAGGCAGGGCTCTGGCTTTGCAGGGAGTAGATATGGGTCTCCATCTCCCTTGAACATGGGCAGCATGTCCTACGCATTGCCGGGTCATCCTCAGTATGATCAAATGCAGTACCCACCGGGCCAGGGTATGATATACCCCATGTCAATGCCGTACGGCCCTAACGCTGGAATGGCCTACGGTGTGCCGTATCCATATCCACCTTATGCGATTCCATCTCACGGACCCCATTATCAACATTATGGAAACCAGCCCATGCAAAACATTTCGCAGCACACACAATACCCCCAAGGCTATTATTCATACAGCAACTACCCAGTACATCGAACTCAAATCCACGCATCCCCGGTCGCCCTATCCCGAACGAACGAACCGAAGCCGGACCCCCGTCAAGAAAACGACAAAAAAACTGCATTTCTCGAATACGATGTCTCCAAGACTATTGTGGATGGCTCCAACCCTATGAGACTAGCTCCATCCCAGTCGCTCCCCTCTGGTGAGTATCTTCGGCTCTATTGCTGGTAACAGGTGCTAATGGATGAATTCCCCAGACAACAGCTCCCCTTCCCACTCCGCACCGTCCGCTCCAACCACTCCTCGAGGGCCACCACGAAAACCGAAGCAGTCTGGGCACGCCCTCTGGGTAGGCAATCTCCCTCCCGGCGCCAACGTTGTGGATCTCAAAGATCATTTCTCGCAAGATGCCACACACGACATTGAAAGTGTGTTTTTAATCTCCAAGAGTAATTGTGCTTTTGTGAATTACAAGTCGGGCGTGGCGTGCCTCGCAGCGTTAGACCGCTTTCACGATTCTCGATTCCAGGGTGTACGCGTGGTCTGCCGGTTGCGTAAAGGATTCACTGCCCCGGGCTCGGGGCTGGGGGTTTCTGGCTCGGGGGGCACCGGCAGTATCCTCCCTTCGCGGGAGGATGTTGCCCCGGACGTCGCTAATTCCGATCCGACTTCGGGCGGGGAGGTACCGGAGCTGGGCTCGGCAGCTCCTGCAACGGGCATCCACCCCCCTCCGGCCCGGGTGGTTGATCGGTACTTTATTGTCAAGAGCTTGGCCACGGAGGACTTGGAGCTAAGCAAGATCAGTGGTATTTGGGCCACGCAGTCTCACAATGAGGCCGCGATGAACCAAGCCTACGAGGTGAGTTCATCTGCTCCGAGCCTACTCCTGTAATCTCTCCAATACTCATCCATTCACGGCAGACGGCCGACTATGTCTATTTGATTTTCTCGGCCAACAAATCCGGTGAATACTTTGGATATGCACGCATGATGTCGCCGATCAGCGACGACGACGAACTTGCCTTGGAAATGCCCTCGCGCCCGGATCCACCCGCCCCCGAAGACCTGGACGTGACTCTCACTGCTGCCACCAGCACCGCGCCCCAGGGTCGGATCATCGACGACTCTGCCCGGGGCACCATCTTCTGGGAAGTGGAGTCGAACGAGGACGACACCCATAGTGAGAAAAGCGTTGAGCTCGACGATGTGGAAGAACAGACGTTTGGCAAACCCTTCCGGATTGAATGGATGTCGACCGCCCGTGTTCCGTTCCACCGGACTCGGGGACTTCGCAACCCTTGGAATGCCAATCGGGAGATCAAGATCGCCCGGGACGGCACTGAAATCGAGCCCGTGGTTGGACGCAAGTTGGTCCAGCTCTTTCACGCTTAACCAGGTCGACGGACAGGGCGAAAAGCAGGGCCCGCGGGCCTTGTACATATATGGGAAACGAGCAATACACGATGTACGTCAAGATCTTTTTCTCTGCTTTACTTTTACATTTATTGTGTTTTTCTTTTTTTTTACATTCCTTGGGACGTGAACACGAATGCGAGTTCCCCTCTTTTCTGCATATGCATGGCGCATGTGTTATATACCCTGGAAGTTGCTGATCTGTAGGATTGAGATATGAGACATGACCTGTTAGAGTGCTGCTCTGTCTTCGGAGCACTTGTACATCAGTAGAGGGTCCTGTTAGGGCTTGCTGACTAATCATCGACATCATCACTCCACTTAGCGCCACTTTTCCCCAGAAAATGCGAGAGCTTAGTTTACCTTAGTCCTGTAGTCCCCCCCCCCTCTTCCCTTTTGCATCTCGGTGAGTAACCGTATGACTGGTGGCACCATCTCTCTCTAACCCTGCTTAGACTCATCTTCCCCTCTTCATCTCTCGCTTCTGACACCTGATCTGATCCTCGCCCCATTTCCCACTCCCACTCTTGTTCCCTCTCTCCCTTTCTTTTTCATTCTATGAGAAGGGCGGCTAGTCCGTCCGGGTTGCTCGTCTCTTCTCAATTTCAGTCTCGCATTCACCATGTCGACCGATCGTACATCCCCTATTACGGTTCCAAACCCTGAGAACCGTCAGCGTCGGGGTTCCATCGCCGACCTGTTCTCCCGCTCAAATGCCAACCCACCCACCCAGACCAACCAGGCCAATCAAGCCAACCAGGCCAACCAACGTCGAATGTCCATCACCACCCTAGGATTATCGGGCTCTCCCACCCAGACCAATACCTTTGGTCGGAACGGCAGCCTCCGTCGAGGCAGCCTCTCCAGCTCAATCGGATCCGTTCCCAACGAGGACGCCGTCGAAGATAGCGAGGGCACTTCTCCGAGCTCCCAGTTTGCGAGACGGGTCTCCTTCGGGGCCCAGGCCCTGCGAGATGCTCGTGGAGGATCTATTGGCAATGGTAGAGCCCCCCCTCCCTCCGTTGTTGGACCGCGTCGCTCTCCCCCGCCCGGTTCGGCCATTGTGGCCACCCGCTCACCCGCAAGTATCTCAACCTCTCCTCAGGACGAGAGATCTAACGCATCCCGCCAAATCCTAGGCGAAGGCTTTAACTGGTCCGAGGCTCTCCGCTCCCGTGCCGAGCGTGCCCCTTCCCTCAGCGGCCCCCCGCGCCAGAACGGCCATCAGCGTGCGACTTCGATCGCTTCCATGGAGACCCCCAGTCGGGACATGCCACGCCAGCCCAAGCAGAACAAGCCCGATTTCTTCCAGGAGAAGATCTTGCGGGGCGACTTTATGGACTAGTTGGCCCTCTGTTATTGTTCGAAAGTCCCTTCCGGCCTAGCCCTTTTTTCCCCCACCCCTTTTCTTTCTTTCGTGAGACGTTGATTTTTGAATACGCACACGATGGAAACATGATTCATATATTTCGGCGTTTTTCGGGGAGGGTTTATCACATCCTGGCGATGTGGATGTTTTATTATACGACCAAATTGACACCCGGTTAGGCATTGAATATGTAAAATGATATTTGGAGTTCTTTTATGTAACTCGTGTGTTCCGTGTCTCTCCCCTCGACTTTCACCTTTCCCTTTCTCGCACACATCTAGAAGTTCGAAGGCCCAGCGGCATCATTTGCGTCCTCCGCATGCAGGTGTCCTGGAGCTCCCTCGGCGACTTTCTTGTTCGAGGTGTCTTCTTCCCGGTCGTACTTCTTCGCCACCTTTCGATCCATCAATTGATCCGTGGTCAATCGGTCCTGTGGCGAGGGGGGCTGCCACTTGCTGCTCTTCCACGGCGGCACTCGCATCACATACATCATGTCCATCTCCTCCAGGGTTTTATCCTTGCCCTCCAGAACAAAGAAGTAGACAATAATCACCGAAAAGAACAAACACCCCGCAAACACGTAACCATACGCAAAGTCGATGTCCCCCGTGATGAACGGGGTGAAAAATCCGATCAGGAAATTCCATAGCCAGTTCGAAGCGGTGGCCATCGCCATGGCTCGCGCCCGGTATCGCGAGGGGTACAATTCCGCCACGATGGCCCACACCATCGGCCCCCAAGTCATGGCAAATCCGGTGATGAACAGGCACGCAAAGACAACCATCGCGGTGCCGGCGGCTGGGGTATTGCGGGGTGTTTCGATATCCAGAGCGAAATGGCCCACGGAGGCAAAGATCATGAAGCAGCAGAACATCCAGATTCCACCGGTGATCAGAGACTTACGACGACCAAAGTGCTCAATCACGTACAATCCACCAAAGGTCGTGCCGAAGTTCACACCACCTAGAATCATCTGCGTCACATAGGTGTTGTCAATGCCGGCGCCGTTGAAGATCACCGTTCCCTGTGAGTGTTACTACCTTTGCGAGGTATTCCCTCCGCAGAGACGCTTACATAGTAAAAGAAGTAGTTGGCACCGGTGAGTTGTTGCAAGGCCTGGAGCACAACCCCCAGGACGATTCGATATGGCATGCGCGGCGCCTGAAACATTTCCACCCATCCGTATATGCCGCCTTTTGACCCTTGCTCGGCATCCAGCTGTTCCTGGATCTCATTGACTTCTTGAACAATGACCCGGTGATTCTCCGGCACGCCATACAGCTTGGACATGGTCCGTCGGGCCCGGTCGACCCGGCCGTGTCGGTAGTCGAAACGAGGGCTCTCCGGGAAGAAGAGAATACCTATCCCGAGAATGAGACCCCAGAGGAAAGTGATGCCCAGAGGAATCCGCCAAGATGCCGAGCTGTCCATGCTCTCCGTGCCAAAGTTGATGCAATAGGCCACAAAGATACCCAGCGTCACAAACAGTTGGTACGAGCTACACGGTCAGTGGGAGCATAGTGTGCTCGGGTCGAGAGGAGACTCACCACACCATTGCACCTCGGATGTGTCGCGGGGCAATTTCACCTTGATACATTGGAACCAGTAGCGAGCAAGCTCCCACCCCGAATCCGGTGACGAAGCGACCCATCATCATTTGGTACCACTTGCCCCCGGGCGAGGAAATTTGAATGATCAACCCAACGTGAAGGATGATACACCAGAAGAAGATTGACCATTTGCGTCCAATTCGGTCGGTCAATGGCCCGGCAAGCAAGGCGCCAATCAGTGTGCCAATTGATAGCTGCGAGTGTTAAGAGTGTGGACATGTGCGTGGACTGTCACTCACCATCGACACAATCAGCCCAGACCGAACGTTACTGAACTTATACTCCCCGCCTGGCTTCAGTTGCGCAAACCGCTGCTTGTAGTTCTGCATCTCCAAGAAGCCCGAGATCTGCCCGGTGTCATATCCAAAGATAATACCGCCAATGGAGACGAATGCACCGAGCAGCACGGATCGCCATGTCGCCCATGGCACACGCGACTCGTCTAGAAAGCTGCCGCGTTTCTCGCGATCTGTGGATTCATTCGAGATGTCCGTCAATGGCGAAGACTCGTTCTTACCCTTGAGTGAGAACTTCATGATTGTATACAGGGAAAGGGCTTGCTGGCAGACGTCGAGACCCTGTCTGCCTTATAAAAATCTAAAACGTCCTTCGTCATACTGCTTGCCACCGCCGGAATTGCCGCGGAATCGTGGGCCCGTCATAGATGGAGGCGCCACCCCGAGCCCTCAAGTGCGGATAAGTGTTGCGGCCAATGTGGCCTCCAGTCATGTCCCCTTGCGAACTACTTTTATTTTTCTTTCACTGGAAGCTCGAGTCTATCTACTATCAGTCTGGAAAGGGCTCACTCTAGCATAGTCCGGGGTTAGATCCGGGGTAGCGTCCGGGGTATGTCGTCCGGGGGAGGGCCGTCACGATGCCGAAGTCGTGACGTCAACTATGAGGGAAAACAAAAGATTCCAATTGACGAGAAGTAAAGAAGGTAGAGAAAGTAGAGAAAATCAGTGAAATCAAAGCTATAGGAACAAAAATGACGTCTAATACGGAATTCCGTTGGTCATCAGCTGGAACTGATCATACCCCTTGGTCGACACGCTCATGTACGATTTGCGCACAAGTTCCCGCATGTACTCCGCGGCGTCGCGCTCGCTCTTGTCGAGCACAAAGCGATCCCGGAAGTTCTTCAAAGTCTCGGGCTTGAAGCAAGGAAGACCGCTGTCAAGCATCAGCGACACGATGTGGGCCAATTTGGTGCTGTAGGGGCGCGAGGCCAAGAATGCCTTGACGACCAACGATTCGAACCACTTGTACGGCTGCGTGTTGGTTGGGTTATGCGAGCTGCCAGGGAGGTTGATGCCTGAGTTGCCGCCCTGGTGGTGAGCCGGGTCATGAGTGCCACTCATAACGGCGACCATTTCAGAGGTCAGCTTGAACGGAGCACGCTCAAAGCGAACACCACCGGGGGCAATATCGAAACAGAAACCGAAATCAATGTGGATGATGTGGCCAGCATCGTCGATCATGATGTTTCCGTTGTGTCGGTCTTTGAATTGGAGCAGGTAAGAGATGACCGAGTAGGCGGCCATACTCTTCACGAAGTTGGTACGGGCCTCTTGGAACCGAATGGAATCCTCGCCTCCGTACTTCGACACAAAGTAATCATACAGACCGTTGACGGCTTCCCGGCCGAGCATGTCGCGAGAGATGGAGTTGGGCAGGACGTCGATCACACCACAACCCGGCGCTGTGGAGGTCACTCGGTAAGGGTAGACCCAAACGTCCAGTCCTACACTGGTGAAGATGCTTCGGAAAGCTGCGATCATCTGCAGCGCAAGCATGTCCTGACGACAGTCATCGCCAACCTTGAAGATTGCCGATTGCCACACCTCATACGTCTCTTGGTCGGGCTCGGTATGATTGGTCAGTTGGCGTTGATGTCGGTGGTGATCACCAGCGTGTGCCTCGGGCTTCTCAATCAATCGTGGCCGGGTCTTCTGAATCCGGAATGTCGCCATGTAAGGCGCCTTTGCATGACTTTGCAAGGGTTTGCCAGACTTGCGGTCAATTCCCACTACCACACCGTCGGGATTACTTGGAAGATACACCCCGACCTCCACCTTGATCTTCCGCAGCTCTTCCTCAATCTTTTCCTTCTTTTCGGGCTTGCTCTTTTTGATGTACGGGCGAAGCTTGCCCGAGACACCCGTAACCTCGTTGAAGAACGAGAACTCTCTCTCGTAGAAGGCACGCTCCTCGTCAGAGAAGCTCAAGATCAGGTTATCCAGGAAGCGGTCGAGGGTCTCCTTGAGTGGATCCGGCTGAAAAGGTAAGAGGTATTAGCTAGTTGCAATCATAATCCTCATCGAAACAGACTTACAATCTGAGAATCCTCGTCCTTGTAAGAGTTGGCTTTCATGTTCCAAATCACTTGATGAGCAAACAGTTGAGACAGTTTGGCTGTTTCAAGAATGTACCGCTCAACATAGCCCAGATAATCATAGCGCAGAGCCTGGACCAGCTGTGGCACAAAGTAAAACCGAACGTCCATGCTGTAGCTTTCCAACGCCCGCATGGCATATTGTAAAATGTAGGGGTGGTTGCCATAGGCTGGCATGAAATATGTGATGGCTTCTGTAGGGGTAACAGGGGCCCAGTATAGCAGATACTTCAACTGAGAGCTGACGTCGTCGGGCAGAGAGTTGCCAAACATGATCTCCAGAGCACTGGGCTCTTCAATGACTTTTTCGGGGAAATTGAGGATGAGCAATCTCACATCATCTTGCATTTTTTGCGAGGGGAATCGGGCTGCCAGCTGGATTGCCAAACCGGCATCCTCTGCCCAGGCAAGTCGAAGGAGTGAGACAGGACCCTCAGCTTGGGGTTTCCCACCACCGATTATGGGCATGTGATGCTTACGCTCGGGTTCCAGAGGGAAGAGCCAAACCCGAAGGCGGGATCGTTCGTTGTCGATCAGTACGTGAAGGAGGTCTTGCTTGGGCTGCAGGGATTTGTACGAGCCCTGCGATTGAGCAGCAATGCTAGCCACAGAACGCAGAATTGCGGTCACTTCCATGAGAATCTTGTCCTCCGCCTTTAATTGTAGTCGGTTGCCTCCAAATGACCACCGAGGGGGATGCTTGAACCAGTTCAGAGCAGCAGATAAGATTTGATCTTTCAGCTTCCAGGAAGCGCCAGCGTTTCGGGGACTGAGATGTCTCAGCACCTTGAGACCGAGGAGCACGATACGGAAATGTATTTCTCTGGCCAAGGGGTGGCCTTCAGTCTTGGTGAGGTTGACAACAGTGGTTCCAATCAAGCGGCAGAACAGTTGTTGATCTTGCAGATTACCCAAGCGAATAGCGTTGAAATGGCTTTCAAAAAATTGGAGAACCCGCAAGTGTGGCGAGATGGTGTCTTGGGCCTGCTGTTGCATGCGAAGCATAAGATCTTTGTCTGTTGGCAAAAGCTCGATTTTAGTGTGCAGCGGATCAAGATATTCGAAAGAAGGATCAAACAACCCTTTGCGGCGGTTGATGCTTCTCTCCCAGGCTTCGATGACCTCGCATAGTATGCGCGGCTCGGTGCTTGGATTTTCGTGAATAACACCAAGCCAGAGAGAAACACCAAGCTTGACTGTCTCCTTGGTGAAGATCTGGAAAGGCAAAGCAACCATGTAGTGAACCACCGAAAGTCGTGGCTTGCTGCTGCTGCAGATCAGACCTGCAGCTTGTCGAAGAACAGCTCTAACTTCCACGAGTGGAATATCCTCGCCGTTGATGCTTCGTCCAAACAGATTACCAAGCCTCTCCTCCAATGCATCAGCAGACTCAGGCAGAGCGTTGATACGGGGTTGAGCGAGGTAACCTCTTCTATCCACCCCTTCAAGGGCAGGCATATCTGGACGGCGATACTTTTGCCGTGTCGTGTAAAGTGCCATGAAATCAGATGCAACATTGAACTCGTTGTTTCCATGGCCATCGATGGATCCAAGTCGAGGATCGCTTTGGGGAATGAGAGTGCCCATCTCCAGGGCAAATGAACGACCCATCGAGATGTGCCCGTAGCCACCGTCGTCATCATATTCGGAAAGATAGGTTTGAAGCAGTCCCTTGATATCCAACGGGGCGATGTTCAGGACGGATGTGACCCAAGTTCTCGCCCGTTCATGGAACCGGTTAAGAGTCGCCCTTCTCAATGCATAGTTGTCTGGCAGTTCGACCCTAACAATACCCATGGGGGAAACCAAGGATGGCTTCCACTCGAACTCGTCGAGCTCCCCCTGAAGACACGAAGACCACATAACGGTCAAGATTTCGAGCAGAGCAAAGAGGGAATGCTTCTCGCATAGCGCAGATGGACATTCCCGAATGATCTTGTTGGCGCATTGTGCGGCAATGCTCTGAATCCTCTCAATACGGTGGCAGCAAGAAATCAGGAATCCCGCAAGCTGTTTCGACAGGTACGGCGCCGAGAATTCATCATGTTGCCCTGAAAGCGTCAGAGACAGATAGCAAGTGACCACCTTGTCCGCTACAGCGTTCATGCAAACAACCATCTCTGATGTTGCCAAGGCCGGGTCAAGGAAATAGTCGAGAATCTTGGTGGAATCACCGGAGGAGGCCCGTAGACTTTCGACCAAGATGACTGAATTCAGGAACACTGCCCTAGAGTAATTCAACTTTTTGATGTCGGAGTCACGGCCAGGAAGTTCAGCGATCAATGCTCGCTTCTGCTCCGCCATTCTCTGGGGTCCGGATCCGCGCCTGAGCACAGTGTTCAATTCTACATCGCTCTCTAGCGACTCCATGTGAGTTCCAACAACTAGTGGGGGAGAGTGATGCGCGAGAAGGCGCAGTTCCTTGTAGTGATCTTGGGCAACATTAGAGCTAAGGTTTATCCCGTGGATAGCAATGTTGAACCAAGCGTCACGGAACAGGGTTAAAATCGACTCATCGATGTCCAAAACTGACCAGGAAGGCCTCTGGAAGTTGCCCTTGGAGGACACCAGCAGAGCCAAAGGTTTCAGGAGAGGGGTAATGTCCTCAGCAGCAAAGAAAACCTCCCGATGATGCTCATTCTCAAGGTCAGGAACATCACCTTTGTTGATGATGCTTTCCAGTAGGTGAACCAAATAAATTCGGTGCAGAGGTGACTCCTGGTCTAAGTTGACCGAAAGATAGGCCATGGCACACTGAACAGCACTCGAAATGGCCTCTAATCCCTTGTTGATGCCATCCAGGTAAATGCGATTGTAAAACTTCAAGAGAAGCTGGAACTCAGCATGTCCGCTGCTCAGAGCAAGGACTGCAGTTTCCTGTATAATGTAGGCATCGACTGCCACGTTGATCTTGCCGATCTTCTGGAGAAGCATAGACTGAGCCAGGGCACTGATCTTGCCGTCATTGCAGTTCGTGGCAATCGTTACAATGGCATGAATGACATTTCTGTATGTCACGTTGTCGCTTTCTGCATTTACCGAAAGAGATGTCTGGCTTGCATTTCTGGGATACGCTTCCAGATTCATTCCGGGTCCGGTATGGTCCCCATTGAGTTGGTCCTGACTGGATTGATCCACGTTTGCACTCGGACTCAGCGCGTTACCCAGCGAGTAGAGGGTTGTGATGACAGCATCCTCAGAGAGAATGGTCAGCACCTGGGCCATGCACCGCGATGCGACGGCGACGGTGGAACGCGCCGAGACACCTCCCTGGGCGATGAATCTCAACAGACAGCGCCTACCGGCAGATGCACCGTTGGGTGACATCCTCGACAGGATCGCGGTACACTTCAAAGCGGTGATAGCCAACTCTACGTTTGACATTTGCTGGGGGTCGAGAAGAGTGTCTTCTAGCCAGGACAAGAGAACATCGTTGTTATTTGCATCTTCGCCAAGGATGACGCAGTTCAGGAAGCCAACTAGGGCATGTCCCTTGACCGAGAAGGCGAGGCGCTGTTGCCAAGGAGAGCCAACTTGTAGGTAGTCAGAACCATCCTCAAGTAGGTGAATCTCTTCACTGATGATGTCAGTGACGCGATCAATGAGAGACACATCATCTTCGTCATAGCTTTTAGCGATACCAACACCAGTCATGTAGTCATCCAGAAGCTGTTCATCCGTCATGTGTTGGGATCCTATCAGAGAGGCCGCGCATGACTTGACGAAACGCATGAAGCCTTCCTGCACGAGCATGGCACCCAACGGACGCGCATGAGCAGCATAGCGGCGAGTGTACCTTTTCCAGTCTTTGAATGCGTGCTCTGAGACATGCGCATTGCGAAGGGTCGATGAAGCTGTTTCCACTGCAATAATGAAATTCTCCGACAGCATTGCACGTAAGAAGTCCACGATCTGCAACTTTTCGCTCGCATGCCAGATAGAGGTGTATTCAGCGGAGGCCTCCAGGAAGCCTACCAGAGATACTGTGATCGACAGAATAGCCACTGATTCATGCACCACTCCCTGGCGTCCCGATTCGGACTTCGAATAGTGGAAAGGCGTGACGGCATTAATGGCCTCATTGCAATTATCCAAGTATCCATGCACGGCTTCGATGGCGACCTGTCGAAGATCTGGGTACTTGGTGCCGAGGGACAGGAGCGCCAGGGTCAGGTTGTAGGTCAGTGTCTCCCACGGCGATGGTTTCACACTGTGCAAAAACGGCGAGGAACGGAAGAGCTGGCTATGGGATTCCGGCAGGTATTGAGATAATTGCGAGGCCAATTGGGCAGCGTTTTCGGGGTCGCTCACCGAGGCCGCGGCCTTGCACAGAGCGAGCAGGACATCCAGTTCGCGGGTTCCCTGTCTCGAGGTTAAGTCTGCGTTGCAAAAATCAGGAGGGAGGGGATCCAGACCATAGGAACCCTGGAAGTTGGGGCTTGATTTTGCAAGACTCCATCGAGGCCATCCTGAGTTGGCCGAGAGTGCTCAGCCAGATCCAGGAGCTCCGTCGCCGGCGCCTCCACTGCCAACGCAGCTAGCTTTTGAAAAGCGAAACGTCTGATTCCACCGGATAGACTAGAGATGGTTAGTTCCGAGCTCCTCCAGGAGATACCTCACATACCCGTCCATTGCTGTGAGGTGGAAGAGGGAGGACTGCACGTGTCAGGAGAAGGGCCGAACACATTCCAGTTTGTCTGTGTTTGTTGGCATACATAGTCTCTCAGAAGTATATACCGGACATCATTCTAGCACGGATATTGAGTATAATTGCTACACTTTTACTCTATTTACTCTGTTTACTCTGTTTACTCTGCTTACTCGGTCCTCGGTTCTGTGGACTCGGTATACAATGATATCATGCCGTGCCTTCAGGGCGGAGAGCCGTGGGATTGGACCTGCCTTTTCACTATTCGCTGCATTTTTCGGCATCAGCATTGCTAAGTCATTTTCTCCCGTGTTGCTCGCTCCCGCGTTGGTATTGCCTGTGCTGTTTTGGCCTTGGCTCCTGGGACTTGATTTGTCCGTCAACTACCGTCGCCAATTGGCCTAGAGTGAACCCTTCGCGCCGGGGGAATACCAACCAGTGTTATGCCTCCCCAAGAGAAGAGCTCCCTCAAGCGAGGCCGGGTAGGCTTCACTTCTCCCAGCACCGGCCATTTGCTAACAGGGCCCAAAATAGGCCACGGCCGATGCAGACTCGCAGAAGAAACCTCGACGTTCCCAGAGAATCTCAAGCCAGATCGACCACGAAACACCGGTCGACTTGAACTACTTGCCAACCCCGCAAACTGGCGCCCAATCAACCACTCCAGAGGCTCGTAAGGATGTGACCGTGACACCCCCCGAAAGCCCACATCAACCCCCATCCCAGTTGGGTTCGTCCCAGAATGGTTCCTCCCCGCCCCCGGAGGACACCCAGGCACTGTCGCAGTTTGTGTACCCACCCAGGGCGTTCGCGGATGAGGTGGAAGATGAGGACGCAGAAGGAGTCTGGGGCTACTTGCTCGCATTGGATGAAAAGGGTAACGGCCCCTTGGTGCTGAGGAAGCGTGACGGCTGCCACAAAACCTGTGATCTGAATAGTGACAAGGGCAATGATGACAAAAAGCCGCAGCCATCCAAGAAGGCGCAGTCACCTGGCGGCTTCTTGGTGGGCCGTCATCCTGAGTGTGGTAAGTACCCGCATGGCTTGTTGCCAGCACTGGCATGTTCTGACTATGATAAGACCGTGTCCTCGAAATCCCCACTATTTCGAACCGGCACTTCCTCGTCTTCGCTGAGAATAAGAAAGGCGAAACAGTTGCCATTTTAGAAGATCTTTCCAGCAACGGAACCTTTGTGAATGATGCAATCGTTGGGCGCAACAAGCACAGGGAACTACAAGACGGGGACGAGGTCTCTATTCTGAATGAGACGCGGTTCGTCTTCCGCTACCCTCGCACGCGCGAAACCCAGGGGTTCCGTCAGCAATACCGCATTCTTCAGCAGCTTGGGAAAGGCCACTTTGCAACCGTCTACCTCTGCGTGGAGAAATCTTCTGGCGACAAATATGCTGTCAAGTATTTTGAACGGCGCCCGGGAGATTCACAGAGGTCGTCCCAATCGGATGATGCCCTGCAGCAAGAGATTGCACTTCTGAAAGGCGTGAACCACCCTAATTTGCTATGCCTGAGGGACACATTTGACGACCACGATGGCGCCTATTTGGTCCTTGAACTAGCCCCCGAGGGAGAGCTATTCAATATGATTGTCGAGAGATCTAAGCTAGGCGAGGATGAGGCTCGCGGTGTGTTCCGCCAACTGTTTGACGGATTGAAGTATTTGGTATATCCCCCTGATTGCACGGTAGATAGCAAATTGCTTACCTACTCACGATTTTTTTTAGCATGAGCGAGGAATTGTGCATCGTGATATCAAGCCAGAGAACATTCTGATTGCCGACCAAAAGTTGCATGTGAAATTGGGTGATTTTGGTCTTGCGAAGATCATTGGAGAGGAGTCATTCACCACGACTCTGTAAGTGAAGCGTTCTCTGTGCCTCAAGCCTGTCACTAACATTGTTCTAGCTGTGGGACACCGAGCTGTAAGTTGTGGGCTCTCATTCCTGGCATGTAAAGATGCAGACTAACCCGCTCAGATGTGGCTCCTGAAATTTTACAAGACAAATATCGTCGACAATACACCAAGGCTGTAGACGTGTGGTCCCTTGGCGTGGTGCTTTACATCTGCCTCTGTGGCTTCCCGCCATTCTCGGATGAGCTGCGAACGCCCGAGAACCCCTACAGCCTCGCCCAGCAGATCAAGATGGGCAAGTTTGACTATCCGTCCCCGTATTGGGACTGCGTTGGTGACCCAGCCCTCGACCTGATTGACCGAATGCTTACCGTGGACGTTGAGAAACGAATCACGGTGGATGAGTGCCTCGAGCACCCTTGGATGACTAACAAGCATCCCAGTGTCAACGACAGCACGGACGGCCTTGCCGGGGATTTTGGGAAAATGGACTTCTCTAAGCGCAAGGTCCAGCGGGAACGCACTTTGCTCAGCAGTGTCAACGATGCTCACTTTGACAAGCGCGCTGAGGGCAGCGAGACCCCGGTCAAGGTGTTTAACAACGAACCTGGCAAACGTGTTCACAATCGGCCCGCCAAGCCCCGGGAAGAGGCCCCTAGTGGCAACCGGGAGGCCAAAGACTTCATCAACATTGGCGAACGTGGAGATCCCACACTGTACGATCACTAGGTGAGCTGGGTTGGAATCTCTCTATCATGGTTATTCTCTTTATTGTTATTGGCATGGGAATGGGAATGGTGTGTACAACTTATATTATTCGGCGCTGGAAGAACATGGAGCATTGCTCGAGAACCTTGGAATTGAACTAGTATCTGGCAGATCGGTACACTTTGTCTTAAGTTTACAGATCCAGATCAATGGCAATCTCCGAGTCTATGCGTATCGATTTATACATCTGGGAAATATGAACTATATACTACACTTCGGAGCCCCCTATAACCGGAGTGGCGTGACAACATACGAACATCTTGTGGGGACAATGTAGAGTCCGAGGGAGTAGCCATTGTCACAATAGAATAAGCACTGCTCGTGGAACGGTCGTTGTGTCCGTATTCCGTGTACCTTGCATCGAAAGGGGGGCGGGTCTGCTCGTCGAATGACAGCGGACTTAATTATTTTCCTCGCCTCCTGTTTCTTTCCGTGATTTGGATCTCCTTTCCTCACCTTTCCTCGCAATTGCAATATGGGCTTGTTCGCAAGTTTCCTCGATACGTTCTGCGAGCACTGCTCCACGCAGTCCACCTACACTTTGGTCTCAGTGGCCGTACTGTCGTTCATTGCGCTGTCCATCGTCCTGAATGTTTTCCGCCAATTGTTCCTCAAGAAGGCTCATGAGCCCCCAGTAGTCTTTCACTGGGTCCCCTTCGTAGGAAGTACAATCAGTTATGGCATGGACCCTTACGCCTTCTTCGACCAGGCACGCGCAAAGGTGAGGCAACTGCGGCGACCCCCCCCCCCCCCCCCCCCCAAATACAGGCTGACTGGGATTCCGCAGTATGGCGATATTTTCACCTTCGTTCTCCTCGGCAAGAAGACCACAGTCTTCTTAGGTACCAAGGGAAATGAGTTCATCCTCAATGGCAAACTTCGCGATGTCAACGCCGAAGAAGTCTACTCCCCCCTCACTACCCCCGTCTTCGGTCGTCACGTCGTGTATGATTGCCCCAACGCCAAGCTCATGGAGCAGAAGAAGGTCAGTCCGAGCAGGCATTGAAGCCCTCCCCCAAGGGAAATCCTAATACCCTTAATAGTTTGTCAAATTCGGTCTCACATCCGAGGCGCTTCGCTCTTATGTCCAATTGATCACCGCCGAGGTCGAGGACTTTATCCAGAGCTCCCCAGCGTTCAACGACCCCAAGGGTACCTTTAATGTGTCCAAAGTGATTGCCGAAATCACGATTTACACTGCCTCTCGTTCGCTTCAAGGAAAGGAAGTTCGCGCTCGCTTTGACTCGACTTTTGCGGATATGTACCACGACCTTGACAAGGGATTTGCTCCGATTAACTTCATGCTTCCCTGGGCTCCTCTCCCTCACAACCGCAAGCGCGATGCGGCACAGAAGAAGCTGACCGAAACCTACACGGACATCATCAAAGCGCGCCGCACCGCTGGTGAAAAGAAGGACTCCGAGGATATGGTTTGGAACCTGATGTCTTGCAACTACAAGAACGGAAACCCCATCCCCGACGAGGAAATCGCCCACATGATGATCGCCTTGTTGATGGCTGGCCAGCACTCTTCCTCCTCGACCGCTGCTTGGATCGTTCTGCGTTTGGCCACCTGCCCTGAGCTGGTCGAGGAGCTCTACCAGGAACAGATCAGGGTTCTAGGCTCTGACCTCCCTCCTCTCACCCACGAGAGCCTCAACAAGTTGGATCTGCATGCCAAAGTCATCAAAGAGACTCTGCGCATCCACGCCCCTATTCACTCCATCATTCGTGCCGTCAAGAATCCCATGCCCATCGAAGGAACCAACTTCGTGATCCCTACCACCCACAACTTGCTGTCCTCTCCCGGTGTCACGGCTCGTTCTGCTGAGTTCTTCCCTGAGCCCCTCAAGTGGAACCCCCATCGTTGGGATGAGGCCGAGGCTCCCAAGGACGAAGATGAGGAGCAGATCGACTATGGGTATGGTCTGGTCACCAAGGGCACCAACAGCCCGTATCTTCCTTTCGGTGCTGGTCGCCACCGCTGCATTGGTGAGCAGTTTGCCTACGTGCAGCTGGGCACTATCCTGGCTTCGTTGGTGAAACACTTCAAGTTCTCCAACCCCAGCAGTGAAACCCCCTTCCCCGACACTGACTACTCGGTAAGTTGTTTCTCTCCCACGCGTCTGATACAGTTGCTCACCGATTCTCTAGTCCCTGTTCTCCAAGCCCGCTGGTCAATCATTTGTCCAGTACGAGAAGCGTGGAGTCAAAGCGTAAACGGAGTCATGATTTTTGAACCGATCCTCTGATGTTGGATCTCATAGTACTTTAATGTCCCACGATGCAGGGCCACACCAGTTCCGGGGGGCCCTATGCATCGCTCTTCTACACGTTTATGAGGCTGTGCTCCCTGTAGATTATTCTGCCCTCTGCGATAACCTGCCCTTGTTTTTCCCTGTTCAAATAGATCATTCATATCAATTTAATCGTCCAATTTCATCGTTCTGTTCCTGGGAAGGAGTGAAAGAAGGTAAATCATGATTGTAGTTGGTATGGCAATAGTTAGTGTACAGTTCGAATCGACGAACATCGGCTTATGAAATATGCAACAGACAGTCCTCCACTAGACTTATGCCTTGTTCCGCGCATCCAGTCTCTTCTTGTTTTGCACCTCTCTGCGTCGTCGCTCACCACCGTCGACCTTGTGTCCCCGCTTGTCCTCCCACATGCCCTCCTCCGCAGAGATGAGAGCGGCAGTTCCCTTGGACCCCTTCAAGGGCTGCAAGTATGGGCCCATGGGAAGCGATCCCTGGTGAATCTTCATGCCAGCAAATTTTGCGATCAGATCCGTCTTGTTGTACTGATATGTGGTGGCGTCGGGGGCCATGTTCACGAGTACTTTCGCCATACCGGGAGCCAGTGTTGCAGAGGAAGTACGCACCATCCCGTGTGTGCCGTCGTATGTCAGGCCCCGAGCGCTCACGGGCACTTCGACCACTCGCAATTGCGCGACACCGTCCACGACGGTGTGCAGGTCACCTCCTGGTCCGTACACGCCATTGCGGAACTTCTCGCGCTTCCGGATCAGGTATCGTCGCTGACGGGCAGGTTCCAGACCGGCTTGGCGGAGCTGATTGGAGCTGAGGTTGAAGAGGTCCTCCCAGCTGGGAATCTTGCTGGCTTGCTTGGACATCTCCCGTCCAATCAACTTGAGAAAGGTCTCAACATCAGGGACGAACGGAGTCGGGGCTGGGATGGGTCGGGGAGTTTTCTGATGGAGTGATCGGACGCATTGGTTGGAGAAGTGCAGTGTTTTAAGGAGGCGCGACGAGAGGCCGCCTAGCGGTGAGTTGCGCATGGCCATGCTCATTGTGGTGTTGCGGGTGGACTACCGCAGACTTCGGCTTGATGTTCAAAGGTCTCTGGGGGAGAGTCGAGTTAAAGAGAGGATGTGTACGTATTGTGCTCGGAACTGGTGATTTCTCGGGGTGCCCGTCGGAGTTGGTCGTTGGTCGACTCCGAGAAATTTTGGCGTACAACAGAGGACCCGGGATCAATGATACTCCGGAGAGGAGGATCGCCAATCCCCGAGCTCTTGAGCTTCAATGGTTCACTTCGGCTCCTGCTCCTTCACCATGACCTCCTGATGTTTCTTGCCGCAGTGATTTCGTGGTTTACTTGACTCGTTGTCTCTATATCGTGCGCGGGTTCGATGGGCTTCGACTACATCCCTCAACATGGCACTATCTCCCTTCAGCTCTCGGTCTCCTACGACCGTGCACTCGCCGAACACCGCCATCCGGCTTCGAGCGACCGCTGCTCAAAACTCAGTCTCTGGGACAGCTGCTGCCGCGGCTTCTCAGCCAGTGCAGCACGGGGATCGCGAACTCACTGAGCAACTTAACATCGATGTGCGGGAGAGATATGTCAAAGGTATATAAATCCGTGCTTTCTTTTAACACTATACTCATATCCCCCAGACAAGAAAGTTGGAGAAGGAACATACGCGGTGGTATTCGTTGGCCACCTCCGAGACGACCCCTCATCCCTCGTTGCGATCAAGAAAATCAAAGTGAACGCGGAATATAAAGATGGGCTAGCTATGGATGCGGTTCGTGAGGTGAAATATCTTCAAGAACTCAAGCATCCTAACGTGATCGCTTTGCACGACGTCTTTTCCTCTAAAGATCAAAATCTCAGCCTGGTCCTCGAGTTCCTTCCAGGTGGAGATCTAGAGATGCTGATCAAAGACAGTGACGTCCAATACGGCGTGGCAGACATCAAAGCTTGGATGGGCATGCTTGCTCGAGGTGTCTGGTGGTGTCACGAGAATTTTATCCTTCATCGGGATATCAAACCCAACAACTTGTTGATCGCGGCGGACGGAGAGGTCAAATTGGCCGATTTCGGCCTGGCCCGGTCCTTCGCTGATCCGGGATTCCGAATGACTTCGCAGGTCATCACTCGGTGGTATCGCCCCCTCGAGCTGCTCTATGGGGCCCACCATTACTCCGGGGCTGTAGATGTGTGGTCGATGGGCATGGTCTTTGCCGAGCTTCTCATTCGAGTTCCTTTCGTTGCCGGGAACACTGATCTGGACCAGGTCTCGAAGATTTGCGAGGCGTTCGGGACGCCCACGGAAGAGAATTGGCCCGGGGTGAGCAAATTACCCCACTACATTGCAACGGACAAGAACCAGGTGATGCCACTACAAGGGCGTGATTTCTTCATGCGCCAATTCCCCACTGCAGGCCCCGTGGGTGCCGATCTGCTGATGGCAATGTGCACCCTCGATCCCCGCAAGCGGCATACGGCGGTTCAGTGTCTTCATCACAGCTGGTGGACCGTTGACCCTCGGCCGACGCAGAATGAGAACCTCCCGCGCAAATCCGGTGGGACTAAAAAGATGGGGGATGATCTGGCCCGACGGGATCTCGACGAGGGCCTGTTCAAGAGTGCTGCCCGACAGCTCGACTTTGGCATGAAATAAGGATACCCAAGGAATTTCGCCCTCTCCCCCCCCCCCGACATTGCCACATGGAGCATGGGAATTAGCCTAACGGCTGCAGGATACTATTGGATTAATATATCAATGCATCTGCAGTCGAGATTGATAGCTCCGTTTTGCGGCAAGTGGGCCTGTCCATTCGTGGCCAATTGAAAAAGAATCAACCCGAGTGCCAGAGTATTGATTTTCCTTACTTCATGCCCGAATGCTTCAATCCCTGATTGGGAGAGACAGCTGAACCAGGCGTCGACAGGAGAGGGACGCAGTAGCTCGCCTTCAATCCGGAGTACGAAAGTAGAATCCCATCACACTGCCAATCTTTACCTCATTGGTCTCGACCGTTATCTGGGTACACCGGGGATACAGGGGTCAAGGAGGATTGTGTCCTACCGTACGGAGTACAGTGCGTACCTAGGTCCTGTCTAGGGACCTCGTACGCCGTCTACTATACACAGACAGGGGACTGTCGGACTATTTCCAAGTATGGCCGGGATGATGAGCATTAGACCACCCCCTTTTTCCCGACGGGATGAAACAGCGTCACGATGCTCCGGATGCCCCAGATGCTTTGGCCCCCTTTTCGTATATAGATCAGATAGCCAGACGATACTGCAAGTCCATCTTTCGTAGGGTTTGGATCACAGGTGAAAGGGCAGGGCCACAGGGCACTAGGGGCACTAGAGATACCTAGGTAATATAAACAACTCGCGTCTAGCCCCGACCTCCCTCTCCCTCTCCCTCTCTCTGCGGGGGACATATTATTAGTGGCTTTGCTTGTCTTTTTTTTTTTTTTTTTTTTTTGGAGATTTACTTTCTTTTTCTTTTTCCCTCTTCCCTCTCTCTCACCTGTTCCCCATTTGGGTCTGGATTCGGTGAGTATCCGAAACTGTCTTGTCGCGTTTGGGCTAATCTCGGGGGGGGGGGGAATGACAGACCTCAATCCGCATGGCCATCGCATTGACTACCTACTAGATTCCAGTCGAGACATTGGGCATGGCCTCAACATCCACACTGCCACAGCCCGCGCGGCCAGGCAACCCCCCATCGGGATCATTACCGCCCCTCCCCAATCCGAAACCGAGAAAGACCGCGTCCGACACACCGAGAGCGGCATCCCCGTATGGTCCCTCCAAGCTACGGACGCCATCCAGCCCCAGACCCTCGCTCAAGTCCCCGCTCTCCAGCTCCAACTCCACCACCAATCTCAACGCTGCTCGCTCGTCCTCGGGGGGCCGTCCACCGGGAAGTCCAGACAGATCCTTGCGCCGCACTATCAGCATAGCCTCCTTTCCCCAGCCCCCCAAGGCCGGTAGTCGTCCCTCGACGGCCTCCTCGCTGTCAGGGATTCAAGCAGCCTCGGCTAGTATGCGACCCAAGCGAAGTTCGCGCCTGAGCACGGGGACCACCAGCAGCTACCGGAGCTCGAAGACGCCATCGCTGCTGAACGGGAGTGGAGAGGGGAAGTTCATCTCGAGTGGGGATGCGCGGGATCCAGATGCATCGCCGGGGCACAGTCGAAGCTCCTCGGCGCAAGGATCGTGCTCCACGAGTGCGACCACCTTCGAGGATGCAGACGACGCCCACAGATCCAGCGCCAAGCCCAAGGAGATCAAAGGGAACGTCATCGTCAGCGTTCGGGTGCGCCCGGACAACAACAGTGGAGGGGAAACCCCGCGAAACCACGGAGAATGGTCGGTCGACAGCCGGCAAAGCATGATCTCCTATCGCGGGAAGGAGGGGGGGGACTACATTTATGGTGAGTCGTCTGAGCGAACCCGCGAAACGCACGCTAACGCAGGCCAGACAATGTCTTCAACACCCAAGAAAACAACGCTCGGGTGTACGATTCTGCCGCCAAACGCCTGGTGCGCCGAGTGATGGAGGGCTATCACGGAACGGTCTTCGCATATGGGATGACGGGCACGGGAAAGACCTTCTCCATGCAAGGAACGGCCACTTCGCCCGGTGTCATCCCGCTTGCCATCACAGACATCTTCTCATTCATTCGAGAAACGCCGCACCGTGAATTCCTGCTGCGGGTCAGCTACCTCGAAATCTACAACGAAAAGATCCACGATTTGCTGTCGGCCTCCGCGGCCGGCCCCGGCGCAGGCCCGCAAGAAGAGATCAAGTTGAGGGAGGACAGCAAGCGAGGGGTCTATGCAACCCCCCTCAAGGAAGAGATTGTGCAGAGCCCGACCCAACTTCTGCGGGTCATCGCCCGCGGTGACCATGCCCGGCGCACGAGCAGTACACAGTTTAACGCCCGCAGTTCTCGAAGTCACGCGGTCGTACAGATTGTCGTCGAGAGTCGAGAACGCGTGCCCCCTGGAAACCAAGACAAACGCTCCGCAATCACACCGGGCGGAGTGCGGGTGTCCACTTTGAGTCTCATTGATTTGGCTGGCTCAGAGCGCGCAGCGGACGATAAGGAACGTCGGACGGAAGGCGCGCACATCAACAAGAGTCTCCTTACCCTGGGCAATATCATCTCGGGGCTCTCGGACAACAAAGACAAGCAAGGCAACCCCTCGGATCGCGATGGGAGGCATTTGCCTTACCGCGATAGCAAACTAACCAGACTCCTACAGCCGGCCTTGTCCGGGGGCTCCCTCGTCAGTATTCTCTGCACTATCCAGTTCACAAGCTCGATCAATTCGCACACAGGCGAGACCCTGAACACAATGAAGTTCGCGGCCCGCGCGAAGAACAACATTGTCAGTCACGCCAAGAAGGCCGAGGAGGCATATGGCGGGGGCGGGGGCGATTCAGGAAGCCGAGTGTTGCTCGAGCGGTATCGCATGGAGATCCAAGCCCTTCGAGGCCAGCTTGATACCCAGGCTAAATACCAGGCGGAGAAGGAACTCAAGTGGGATGAACAACAGTACGAGAAGGAGGCTCAGGCTCGCCACGAGGAGCAGGTCCTGGAAATGCAGCTGGCGCGCACTGCCCTCAAAGAGCGGATTGAGCATCTCAACCGCTTGATTCTGAGCTCCAAGTCCACGGGAGTGAACACCCATAACAGCCTGTCTGCATTTGGACGACTCTCTCGTATGTCTGCCACGGACTCTGGGACTCGATCCTTACGCTCTTCCGCGAGCCAATCTACCTTGGGTGTTGCCCATTCGTCCATTCGACCCATCTCATTCATGTCGGTGAATAGTAGCGAGCCTTCGAGCACCCTTCACTACCCAGGCGGCTCATTCGGAAACGAGGATGAGGAAGATCTGGGTGAATTTGGCGATGGAAAAGCCAGCCTTCAACGCCAGGTCGCCGCTTTGCAAGCTGATCTCGGCGACAAGAACCGCTACATCTCCACGTTGGAGCGCCGCCTACTCCAGGCCAGACGATCTAGCCATTCTCGCATGTCCGTGGGCCCCAAACCACCCAGCTCTACGATTTCCGAGTACCCTGATGCCTCGGCTTTGATTCATGAGAAGGATATGGAGATCAATGAACTTCGGCTACAGCTTGATGACAAGGACCGTATGCTCGCTGCCCTTCGATCTGCTACCCGCCATCGTGATCTCGCGGCTGTGACCAATGAATCACAGTCCCCAGACCTTCGCGGTGGATCCGTGGCCGGAGACAGTCCGGCGCTCAGTGGCAACGGCTTTGGCAAGATAGAAAGCCCGTCTAAACGTCCCTTGTCCGGGCGAAGTGAAAGAGAGGACGGAGGGAAGAAAATGGACGAAGTCTCGCGAATGCTGGAAGAAATGATTCAGGGTCGAGGGGATGGTCAGGAGCGAAGGAGTATCCACAGTGAGAGCCGGCGCGTATCTACGTCGGCGCAAGTCGCTGGTCTCAACCCCAATGCAGCCTCGTGGGATCCCACTCTCAGCCCACCGGTTCAGGAATGATGATGATACCTCAATGCGTTGTTTTTGTTTGTGCTTTGCGGAAGTTCCTGGTTGCGCTTCCTGTTCTCTTCCTCTTCTGATCTGATACCCAATTCATAGGTTTACTTTCTTGCGTGTATTTAATTCGAACCATTTTCTCGTCGAGTGTATGTATCATTCTCTGTTGCATATATCCTGTAGCATTTACCACGGCAAGATTACTCGACTCGACTCGACTTGGCTCAGGAGATAATTTCCAACTCGCCCTCTCTATTCTTGGCATATACATCCTTCCACTGATCCCATAGACGTCCCAATTCGTCCACATATTGGGAATGGAGTTCATCGATGTACCGGTCATCAATTTTGTCACGGTTTTGCTGTTGCATGACCGGGATCGGCCGTCCGACCACAATGTTGAGGGGATTGCGGTAGGGCATCAAGCCGATGTCGTAATTGAAAACACCGCGTGCATGGAACAAGGGAACCGTGAAGCCCAGGGTTTTCTTGATGAACATCTGAAACTTGTGGATAAGGGGGTGCTGGTCCGAGTCAACTTGGTCGTAGAGATCATTTTCCCCAAAGGCCAAAACAGGCACAAGGTCCGCTCCTGTCCGAATTGCGAGCTTGACGAATCCCTTGCGGCGTTTCAAAACCAAGCGCAGTGTGTTGGGTTGGGCGTTCAGTGATTCCCGCGCGCCTCCTACGACAATTGTGATGGCCCTCCCCATGCCCTCCCCGTCGCTACCACCCTTGGTTAGGATATTCTCGCAAGATTCCCGGGACACACTGGCCAGTCCCATGGCAAATGCATATTCGCGGTAAAAGGGAATGCGGAAGTTCGCGTCCAGCGTCAGTAACGTGTTGGTGATCCCAGGAAACAGCTTCGAGAATCCTAGAGCCTCTGTGCCGAACGCAGCAAATGCACCGTGAGAGATGATTCCGTGAGGGTGATAGCCAAATATGTACTTCTTGGTTGGGGGAAGCTCTTCCTCCCGGTGCAGGCGAGCGGGGAAGTAGGATGCATACACTTTCCAAATCGGAAGTGAGCGCAAGAACGTACTGCGGCCTTTTAGATCACCGGATGTTGCGGCAGTCGAGAACAAAGAGATATACACGAGATATGGGACCAGAAGCGGCCAAAAAATCGGAATTGCGCAGGTGAAGAAGAACCCAGTTAAGAAGATGGCGATGGTTAGAGTATGACAGAGCACAATGAAGGTCTGCAGGCGTCGTTCGAGGCCGATGTTCAAAGGTGCCCAGTGAATTCTAGATCGCACGTTAGACAGACGGCCGGCCGTGATTCACTCGGCTTACCCTTTTCTTCCATGCTTCGAGTGGGATTTGGAGGTCGCCGTGGAACCCTGAGGTTCCCCGTTCATATTGTGTTTCTGGCCGGGTCCCCGTGAGACCAAAGATCTGAAATGCTCGAGGGGGTGTCAACCACGGCGCTACCGATCATTGGACCACGTCGTAGCAACCGTTTCATCGTTTCCCTCGTATACCGATCTCCGAGGTTCCAGATCCAGTGATCACCGATCCACGTGACCCTGCGTCACTGCCCAGGTGCCCCTGGAGGTACTTCTAGACTCATGATATCAAAGACCCAGGAGATCAAGTGGGATTATTGTTGTGTTGGCAAATTGAACCCACCCTTCTCCCGGATGGTCACCTTTTAGCTCATCTACGAATTCAACTATCATGATTGCTGCTTTGGGGTCATGCCCTGAACCCTGGGAGATGTCGCAGTCAGAGTGCTGAGAAGCATCACTGACGTCTACCTGGTCTACGAGGGATATATGCGGATTCCAAAGTTGATTTTTCTGTGCTCAATATAGCTGGAAAATGCTATGTATATATATAATCAAAACGCCCACCCATAACTCCGTTGATATGCGCTTCAGATGCAGATGGGAATGACTCCGGTCTCTATGCTTTAATCATAAAGATCTGATAGGCGTTAGCGAAAGGACGGGGCATACAGCACTGTCGAACTTACCTCATTGAGAGACTTGTCATCCATGATGGCTTTTCTTTTCTGGGCAATGTGACGGGCACGAGTAAACTGCCGACCCATTGGTAGTCGTGCACGAGGGGGAGCAGCCGTCTGGACTGCGGGAGAGACTTTCTCGGGGTCCTCAGATTCGGCCTTTCTCTTCTTAGACTTTTTCTTCTCCTTCGTCTCCGAGCCCGATTCCGCGTCTGATCCCTCCTTGGAACGGGACTTTTTCGATTTCGATTTCGATCTTTTTGATTTTTTCAATTTGCGAGCATCTGAATCGCTGGAGGATTCGTCGTCGGCAGACTTGGATCGTTTCTTCTTGTCCGACCTCGATTTCTTTTCTTGCTTGGCCGGGGTGCTTTCGGGTTCCTTTTCTTGGACCAGCAACCCAGCGCGGACGAATCTGACTGGGGGGAATTTGAGGGAGGCGTAACGAGCCAATCGGACATCTTCAAGCTTGCTTTCATCCTTTTTCAACTCCTCCTCACTCTTGCCGTTCAGTCGACCGAGTAGACCTTTGAAGGCATCGAGACCGGTCTGTTCACCTTGTCGCCCTAACCGAGCGCCCAAGCCTAGAGTGTCGTCCTTGAGAGAGACTTTGATGTGAGAGGCGCTGGCGGCGGTCAGCATGTCGGCATGGGCGGCATTCTTGGCACCCAAGAGACTTCCAGGAGTCCAACCCTGAGAGCTCATGATGCGATGGCCGAACCCAGTTGTGGACCGAGTCCATTTGGTATTGTTGGGATCATTGCCGATCTTGGTCTTGCTGTTGATATATTAGAAACGTATCGCAATAAGATAGTGAAGGCGCGTACTTCTTAGGTGCTGCTAAACCCATAACGACTCAGATTGCGGGGATGAAAAGCGAGTCGGTCGATAGCATTTACAGAAAAAAGAAAAAAGAAAACGAAAGCAGAAGAGGAAAGGGAAAAAAATTACCTGTTGCTGACTTATCATGCGTTATCGATAAGGCCTCGTGATGTCGCGGGGAGATGCCGCAGCCCAACCTCAATTGGCTTGTTGCTCGATTGCACTCTGGTTTGAACTTGGTGTTCCTCATTCTTTTTCTTTTTTCTATTCCTTGCTCTTGCCTTCAGCTCCTTGGTTCAATTTTCACAAGGTGGAGTGATACTGGAGCGATGGTATTGCGTTGATATTCCGATCATGTCGAATCTTCGGGTGCTCTGTCGAGATCAGCCTCAGCGTACAATTGCATTGTTTTCTTCAGATCATGCCTTGGTTTTTCACCATACCTCCACGGATACAAAAGATAGTCCCCGATGCCAAGTGGAATTCTCTGACTTGGAATCGGTGGACTTACAAGGCTATCGGCCACTTGGGGCAGGAAAGGGTACCTTAGGCCTGGTGACCCTCAATGAAGATATCTTTGTCTGCGTTGTGACGAGTTCTTCGCAAGCAGCTACCGTGAGGCCCGGGGAACATGTGTCCCGAATTGACAGTGTCGGCTTCTGTATGACCCGTATCCAATAAGCATGAGTAGTCTGCTGACAGCCGCAGACTGCCTCAATCGTTCGGAATACGAATTTGGCCTTGACTATGAAACCGGGTCGCAATTTGCCGCCGAGGATCGCATTGGTCCGGATGGGAAGGATGTAGTGACCGACCACCCTTTTCTGGCGTTGAAGAAGCTCCTTGGAGACGGAAGCTTTTATTACAGTCTGGATTTCAACCTCACTGATCGCCTGCAGAACCGGTAAGCTCCATCTCACCACCATCGTATTCGGCAAAGACTGATTCTTCGCAAGGGCTGATAAATCAGCGGCTTTCGACATTGACACGCTGGATGAAGACATGCTGTGGAACTCCTATATGATCAGCCCACTCCTTCTCTTCCGGAATCACTTGCCACCATCCGACAAAGCCAAACTAGATGCATCGCAGATGCTCACTTGTGTCATTCGTGGATTCGCCAGCACACTCAAAGTGCCAGCCACAGTATCAATTCTCCCTCACATACGAACTAACTTCCCTTCCATGTTGACCATTATCTCACGGCAATCTTCCCGGCGTGCCGGCACGAGATTCAATTCGAGGGGCATTGATGATGATGGTAATGTCGCCAACTTCGTGGAAACCGAAACGATTCTATGGGTAGCTCCGGGAATCGTGTTCTCTTATGCTCAAGTTCGGGGATCAGTGCCGATCTTTTGGGAACAAGCTCCAGGTCTGATTCCCGGTCAGCAAAAAATCGAAGTGACCCGGTCCGGTGAGGCCACTCAGCATGCGTTCGATCAGCATTTTGAGCGCCTGGAATTGGAATATGGCGCAGTGCATGTGGTCAACCTATTGAGTGAATTGAAACCCGGCGAAGCAGATCTGTCGGCAAAATTCCGAAAGCACATAGGAAGAAGTTCAGTGCGGCAGAAAGAAGGCGCGGGGACGTCTCCGCGCCGCAGCCTTTTGCGAATGACTGAATATGACTTTTTGGCAGAAACTCGAGGCCCTTCGGGATATGAGGCCAGTTCTCAGATCAAGCATGAGCTAATCAATTCGTTGGATGGATTTTCGTATTTCTTGTCCGAAGATTCTGGTCGCTCAAACAAACACCCTGACGACAAAGATGACACAGTCAATAGCTCTTCGGTGATTCTGCAACAAGAAGGTGTATTTCGGACTAATTGTCTGGACTGCCTGGATAGAACAAACCTCGTGCAGACTATTATTAGCTCGATGGCGTTCGAGTCTTTCTTGTCGCAACAAGGCGGGAGACTCAGCCCCGACATGCAAGTCCGACATTCGACCATCTGGGCTGACAATGGCGATGCGCTCTCCAAGATCTATGCTGGAACAGGGGCTCTGAAATCATCGTTTACTCGGCACGGCAAGATGTCCCTTGCAGGAGCACTTGCAGATGCACGAAAGAGTGCCACCCGGCTGTATGTCAACAATTTCACCGACAAAGCCAGACAGCAGACGATTGACCTACTTTTGGGGCGCCTCACAAACCAATTGCCCGTCTACCTCTTCGATCCGCTGAATGATCTAGTGCTTGAAGAACTGAACCGTCGAACGTCGGAATACTCCTCATGCAGGCAGGTCCGATTCTGGGTCGGCACCTTTAATGTGAATGGGCGTGATGAGGGCCCGGGCACTGACCTAACGCCGTGGCTGTTCCCAGAGGCCGATGGCTCTGAAGAAGACCCAGCGGTCTTTGTAGTGGGCTTCCAGGAGATTGTCTCTTTGAGCCCACAACAGATAATGTCCACCGATCCCAGTACCCGTAAGGTCTGGGAACGGTCGGTTCATGAATGCTTGAATACGCATTCGAAGCGAAAGGGTACTGGGAAATACGTGCATCTACGAAGTGGCCAGTTGGTCGGTGCGGCTGTCCTACTCTTCGTGAAAGAAGATGCCCTCAAGCACATCAAGAATGTCGAAGGAAGTGTGAAGAAGGTGGGTGAGCTCGAAGGTTGGATGATGCACAATGCTAACCTCTGAAGACCGGTCTCTCTGGAATTGCTGGCAACAAAGGCGGCTGTGCGATTCGTTTCGACTTCTCGAACACCAGTGTGTGCTTTGTTACAGCACATCTTGCTGCCGGATTTGCAAACTACGATGAACGAAACAGAGACTACGAGATTATCAACAGAGGTCTACGGTTCCAAAAGAATAGGTCAATTGCAGACCACGATGCCGTGATCTGGCTGGGTGATTTCAACTATCGGATTGGATTAGGCAATCCCAGTGTCAAAGAATTGATTGCTCAGCGAGATTACCATAGGCTGTATGAGAACGACCAGGTAAGTGCAACGGCCCCCAAGGCTACGTGGCTGGCCTAACAACTACAGTTGAATCTCCAAATGGTTGCAGGTAAAGCATTCCAATTCTACTCCGAAGGACCAATTGAGTTCCCACCCACCTACAAGTATGATGTTGGGCGGGACAATTACGATACCTCGTAAGTGCAGCTCTATGGTTTCGGTCCCATTGTTCTCCCAAACTCACATATCCCTAGCGAGAAAGCACGTATCCCTGCTTGGTGTGACCGAGTGCTGTGGCGAGGAAACAACCTGCGACAAACCCATTACCAAACTGCGGACTTGAAAGTGTCTGATCACCGTCCAGTTTGGGCAACCTTTGATTGTGTCATTGATATTATCGACCACGCGCTGAAGGAGAAGCTCAGGCGATCGATCTACGGGAGAAAACAAGACTCGGATCATGCTTCCATCGCAAAGTCCATTTCCTTGTTAGACTTGGACGAGGATGAAATGATGCCCCTGGCATCAATCGCACCAGGATTCCCACCCGCGAGTTCTGATCGGAGCCGATGGTGGCTGGATAACGGTCCGGAACTTCTGTCCCAATGTGTCCGCAATGTGCTAACTTACAATAGGAACTCCAGTGAAAGCAACATTGCAACCCCCACGCGAAGGGTTGGTTGCCAACCCCCAGCGCAAGTCTAATCCATTTTCCCCTGATACCGACTGGGTAGCTCCTGCTCAAATTCCGAGGAAGCCAATGCTGCCCCCTCGCCACGGTACCACTGGATCGCCGACGATCTCAACATCGCCCCAATCGGTCGGGTCGGGGAGGTTGGCACCAGTGGTCCCTCGCAAACCGCTCTCACTGAGCTCCCAGGCGAAATCTCAAACAATGCCCATATCTGGGGAACAGACAGCCCAGCCCATTGCGGCCAGTGCCAGCTCGCCCGATCTATTAGGTTCGTCCAGTGAACCGATTGGGTGGAAACCACTTCTCCAGTAGAAAGGCGAAGATGAACTTCATAAGAATCGATCAACTTGGAAATGCCAAGGACTGATGTCATTGCATACCGCCTTCAGTCTCTCCGCCTCGGAGCCGATCATGGGTTTGAGGTGTCTTTTCTAGGTCTCGACGATGGCATAAGCCCGGTCGTATGGATCTTTCTAGGTATCCCGAGTGTGATATCCTGCATTCCGCAACCCGCAACCTGCAATGTTGATCGCGTTCTAGCCGCTGTAGATGACTCGACATGTCGGAATCCCGTTCGATGGGCCCGTAGGTAGTGAACGGGGAACTTGAAAGGGAAGGAGAAGGCGATAGACGAGTGTTCAGGATAGAAAAGGTGGGAAAGATCGGAGTCAGGGGCTTTCAGAAACGAGTTGCCCAAAAACAACAACGTGGCCTTTTTCTGCCGGCATATTGAACTTCCCATCTTTCCAACACTCCCACCTCCCTCATCTCTCTCTCCACATTATTCAAATGGTAAGACGCGAGCTCCATGTTGCTACATAGTCGCTGACCCTGACCAGGCGCAAACACCGCAGCAACGAAGGGCCAACGACCGGTTCGCAAAGACCGAGGCTGCCAAACGCGGCAAAGCTCCAACTACCGTCAAGCCCAAGAAGAACACCAAGTCTCCACTCTCCGCAACCTGGGTTGGTATGATTACAGCGCAAATTGCTCCAGTGGATAGCATACTAATGGGACTTCAGTTCTTCTGGCGTTTGTTGTTTGCGGCGGCCTCCTGTTGGAATTGTTGCGGGTCGTTCCTGACCTCTGGTCCTCGGTGGCCGCATGGTTCGCCCAGATCAAAGGATGATACGGCCCTATCTACCACAGACAACTCCCCTTTCCCGATGGGCACGCGAGGCGCTGGCTGTCTCTGTCCTCGAACGAACGTCGGGCCCCAGGGATGATGAGACTGACGCCAAAGGCATGTCAGCATGATATGCGCGTGTCAGGCCCTTTCTTTTCGTTTCTTGAATATGTATGATTCATATTGTATCTCTGCTACCGCTCAAGCCAAATACCACTCGTGTTGCAACATTTACATAGAAGCCGAGGGGGGTTCATTCTCTTCGGCTTGCTTCTCGCAGTCTTTTCTCTTCTTTTTCTTCCGAATAGCCGATGACTCTGGTAGAGCTTTCGTGGCGTCTGGAGAGCCTGAACCAGCTTGCTTCTTGGGCTTCTTTTTCTTTTTCTTGACGAGAGTTCCTTCGGCCGGGGTTCCATCGAGCTCGATTCGCTCCGATGCTCTTTGCATGCGCAGTCGTACCTCTTCAACTTGACGCATTGCGTTGGCCATTTCCGTCTCCCCTTGGTCCGCGGTGGTATGAGAGGGCTCCTGGGCCAAGGACAAGCTCCCGAGATTGCTGGAATCAACCTGGAGGAGGGAGCGCTTAGGTGCGGCGGCACCGGCACCGGCACCGCGAGATGTAGAGGCATGGACAGTTGCATTTGTAATCTCAAATGTTTCGTCGCCAGCGACTACTAGCCTGCTCGGAGCTCGGCGACTTCTGGGGCGGTCAGAGTGGACCCTTGGTTGGTCATCACCCAACTTCAAATCAACAATAGGGATCGAATCGATGTCCAGAGCCTCGCCATTGGAGTTGTTCAAAATTTCGTGGAACGGCGTAGAAGTGCCAGATGAGTCTGCGGATGGGACAATGTAGAAGGGGTCATCCTTGAAACGTTCCTTTCGTTCCAAAATTCTTCTTTGCGTCGCATTGGGATCCATTGAATCATTGAGGTTTGAATGGGAGCCGTAAGGTGTATCATTTAGCGTAGAATCATGGACGTTCTTGGCCAGAGACATGATTTCAGGGGTATGGTAGAAGTCTGATGCCTCCCAGGATTTTGAGTTGACTGATGATAAGTCGCTCAAATTCCGGAAAAGACCCGGCAGATCATGACTGAATGCTTCATCCAAGCGAAGAGTATCAGGGAGAACAACTTTCCGCTGGGCACTGGCTGCAACGGGGTTCAGCTCAAGCCCTCTGAACAGACTCGGTATCACTGAGGTGAGAAGGAAAGGGACATCTTGGGTTTCAGAATGTAATGCCTCGGCGGCCAGCCGCAGGACTTCCAAGAACTCAATAGCTCGTTCTTGAACATCTAAATCCGGATGGGATGCCAGAGTCTCGAGGAACTCCACAACACGCGCAAGCAGGAGTGACATCTCACTATTCCACGCATCGCCCGTGTTGGTGACCTGGCTGACATGAACGAAGATCTTTGGGATGGCTTGCAGGAAGAGGGAAAGTGTGTGGGGTGGAAGGGATGAATTGGATGTGTCGATCAATGACAAGAGAGACCGGTGGGGCGATAAGAGCAATTCAGCATATTCCCCAACCACCCAGGCGACAGGACCTAAAGCACCATCGCCAATAGTGGAGTAGGTAGGGAAGAAGATTGATCGATTGTCGATAAACACCAGAGATTCTGCCGCTCTGGTAGCTTCTGTGCGCACGCCTTTGACTCGTACAGCAACGTTACGAATCTCCATCCCTATTCTCAACGCAGCGTCCATTCTCAGATCAGGTGTGTTGTCTGGTTCTTTGGGCTGACACCAACCATCGTCACTCTCACTTGGAGGGAGAAGGCTGACCAGCTGTACCAACACGGCTATGTACCATTCAAAGTCAACAATTTCAGAATAGTTGTTCTGCGAGCATAAGTCCAAGATCCGGTGGATGACCTCGGTTCGGTAATCGTTAGGCCACACTGCAGATGCGTCGGGGGCTTCGGGTACCTCCGTCGATTCACCTGCGAGGACGCATGCTCGGCGCAGTTGGTCTAATAAGCGATTCACAACCGGTTGAAGAGTTTCACTGCTGACCATCCCAACGGCAAGCTCTAGGGCTTGCAGTCGGATGGAAACATCTGCATCATCCAAACAATCCATGATCACATCTTGTTGCATGGAAACCAAGGTTGGATGTGTAGCAACAATACGGTTCAATGCGAGAAGGGCGACGTATTTCACTATCCCCTAAGTCAGCGGTGAATTCCGGGACTGCAAAGCCAAGAGAACTCACAATTGGGATCAGAGTCCATCACAATCATGCCACGAAGTTTACCCACGCAAAGGGTGGCGACGTCGTCCCGTTCCTGAAGACCGTCTTCTCCGTCCAGTATACCACCCTGTATGATCCCATTGATGCATTCATAGAGTAGTGACATTGCAGAGGTAGTTTGGATTATATTAATCAGTGGCCGCAAAAGCTTGCGTGTCAGTCGTGGCTCTAATGGGGTTAATGTTGCAAACTAGGGAGGGATGTTAGAGCGCTCCGAGTCCTGGTCATCGGGGGTCTCACAAGTTTGATGATTTTGATAGCCATCCAATTATTCCCACTATCCACCAATAGCTCAAAGAATCGGGGCGCGAGAGGCAAAAAATCATGAGGTCGTCGCCATCCAAGTTCACAAACGACATTGATTGCTGCAGTAGTCACGCTACCATCTTCTTGGTCATCCATCAAATGGTCTTTGATTTTCGGCCATGCCAGCTTCAAGGCTTCGGGATAGACCAACGCGATTCGGTACAGACAGACGATTGTTTTCTTCCGGACCACGGGATTCGAGTGTGACAGCCGTGATAGAATATCAGGGAGCAAGGACATCGCCAGGGAAGGTGTGATGATATGCGGCAGAGTAATCAAGGGAAGCGACATGTTCGGGATGTTTGAAGTGACAATATCCTTCTTCAGCAGGTTGGTTGCAAGCATTAAGACTTCCGTGTCGGGCCGGAAGCTCTGCACCGCTCCCAGGTATCCGACTCGTTTCTGAAGATATTTGACTGAGGACATGACTTCAAGAACGTGAAACGATGCCCATGACATGTCATATCCGAACATCTCCAGGTATATGAGCTTGAGGAGGGCCGTGGCCTTTTTGTCTGCTTCACGTCAGCGATGGACCAATGCAAGCAGATCACCGAGCGATACCCATATCCTGTGTCTTAATCTCGACTTTGCATTCACGCAGCGCATTCTGAATGTACTCATTTTCTCCCCCTTTATGGCCCCGAAGACCTTTGATCAGATCATACAGGGATTTTTCGAACCTACCATATGCTCAGGTCAATGGTTAATCTGGATCATGGAACCAGTAGTACTTACATTATGGCTATCAAACATCACACCGAGGTGTGATATAGTACGGGCCAGTGAATTAGTGTTGGTAAAGATGCATCGTCCGCGCTGCTCAATAGGATGTCGGTGCCGAAGAGAAGCTACAGCTCCGCGGGGTGGGAAGTCGGGGGAGCCCTGGAGAGAGATAAGAATCACGGGACCCGCGATTACCAGCCTGGAGAGCTACCGTCCAAGAGCTGTAACTCCCGGTGTCTTCCACATACACTAGCATCATATTTGACTTTCTTTGACTCAACTTCTTCGGCTCTCCTTCGTGGTGACGTGGTCAGTTCGACATGGCCAGTACTACTTCCGACGTTCGTGACATCGGCGGATCGGATATGATCTCGGCTCTCCATCTTGCCCAGCAAGCACCGGTCATCCTTGGTCCTGAGTCGCGATCCACATCTGCAACCGATAGTGCAGATTATTATGCCCGAATCGAGCAACTAATGCTGGCTTGTCTTCGCACTGGCGATGACCAGTCAGCACAGACCTGTCTGAATCGCCTGAGCCTTCGATTCGGACCCTCGAATGAAAGAGTCATGGGTCTTCGCGGCCTGTACGAGGAGGCCACTGCCAAGGATCAGGCCGCACTCGAGGAATGTCTACGTGGATATGATCAGACCTTGTTACAAAGCCCCGTGAATGTGGTCAGTATTGATCCCCGGGTTGCATCGTGACGGGCTAACCCTCCACACAGCCCATCCTGAAGCGCCGGGTTGCGCTGCTGCGCTCACTCAACCGGCCCGCCGATGCAATCTCCGCGCTGATTGAGCTCCTGGATGCGATCCCCACGGACGCCGAGGCCTGGTGTGAACTTGCCGACTTATATCAGTCCCAAGGATTGGGTTCCCAGGCCATCTTCAGCCTAGAGGAGGCTCTGCTTATTGCGCCCAACTCATGGAATGTATGCATGACGCACGTACCATGCTATATTATGATCACTGACATCCGATCCAGATCCATGCCCGGCTCGGAGAACTGTTATACATCGCGTCCGCGGATGGCGATGCGGCCCGACTCCTTGGGAAATCCGTTCAGCACTTCAGTCGTAGCATTGAACTGTGTGATGACTACCTGCGAGGCTTCTATGGATTGACCTTGGTAAGATCCTTTGTCTCTCTCTCCCCCCCTCTCTTACTCATACCGTCTTAGGCATCGACGCGCATGCTGGAGAATAATTACGGTCAGCAGCCCACGTTGAAACGGTTAAAAGCATTTTCGCTGCTTCAATTAGAGGAGATTGTGAAAACACGATCCGTGGATGACCAGCATTGGGCATCGAGTCGCAGTGAACTGATTGCCGCCAAGGAGTTGTTGAATCGATTTAAGTGAGATAGAGGTATTGGGCAGTTCGGGCAGCACACAACTAGTTACACACAAATGCCCAACCCGCCCAAGTCATAATAAACAGGGTCCTTGTGTGCTGGCTTTTCTTTTTTTTTTTTGACATGATACCCTAGACTATTTGATTTTTGTTTGGTTTTCCTTTCTATACCTGTCCTACCTCAGCTTCAGCCTGTCACCCTGTCACCCTGTCAACTTCCTATGATCTCCAAACCAAACCAAAAAAAGCAACCTACCGTGTTATATCTTCCAAGGTTGTGACTGAGGACGAGTACTAGTACTGATTGAGTAGTACTGTGTCGCAGAAAAAAAAAGAGTCAATGCGCAAACATCCCCCGCGTCGACTCTCCTAAACATCTTCTCCCCACCGTTCAGCGTGAGGAACTCTCTCTGTTCTCTGAGATTCCTCTCTCTATGACGTACGCTGGTCTTGGTGATCTATCGATTCTCCTCTAACTGTCTTTCAGGCTCAGTATCTCGATAAATTCAGACCACGGCTCGGACTCTTACTCCGACGACGACGGTGTACATGTCTCTGCACCGTCGATAGGGGACCATGGGTACCAGGACTATGATGAGTGGTCGCATCTATCTTTCCCGGATGAATTGAAATTGCCTGATTCGGCCCCCCGAAGACCTTCGCACCGCAGTCGTCCTCACGGTTCACGATCCGTTTCGGGCCGTCGCCCAACATCACGACGTATGGGTCCAGACCACTACCCCTCTCGGGGCCAACGACAGCCCTCCCCAGATTCCCCCGAAAGCGAGGGCTCTGTGGAGGAATATCCTTCTTATGCGCGCCCACCTGACCGGAGATGGCAACAGCCAATGCCCCCAGCGTACCCTCCCAGCCAGTCGTCAGGACCGTCCTTTAACCAACCGTACCCGCCACCACCAGGCCACGTCCCATACCCTCACAACGTTCCCGGCTCGTCGGACCTTATGAGGATCGGGGGTGGCCAACCAAACCCCTACGGCACGCCGCCGTATGGATACCCGCCTCAATTTCCACATGGGTCCCCGTATCTTCCGGACCAAGGTCAACCGCATCAACGCCATGCACCCCGCCATCCACAGATGCATAACCCAATGCAACCGCCAATTGGACACGCCATGGCTCCTCACGCGCCGGGTTCTCCGTTTGGGGGATATCCGCACGAGTTGATGCCCTACGGCCAACCAGGGTATCACCCTGGGTACTTTGGGGGACCCATGCAGGGGATGGTACCTCCCTACTGGCCACACTACCCCCAAATCGCAACCCCTCCACATCCAGAACCGAAGTCCCCCCCACCCCCAACACCCGCCCCGGCGCCGGCCCCAACGCCCGTGCCAGTGCCTGAACCGGCCCCGGCACCGCCCCCTCCACCGGCGCCCAACCCGGTCGATACCGCGAAGGATGAGCAGATTGCTCGGCTGGAGAAATTGATCCTTGACGACCGCAACGACCGGGAAGCCAAAGAACTGGCCAAGCAGCAGGCCATCGAGCGCGCGGCTGCCGAAAAGGCCGCGCAAGATGCCCAGATGGCGCATGATCGCAAGATCACCCAGGAAGCGGCGGCGCTCGCACGAGCCGATGCCGAGAAGAAGGCCGCCGAGGATGCAGCCAAGGCCAAGGAGGAAGCAGAGCAGGCGGCCGCTACCGCCGCCTCGGAGGCCGCGGCTGCAGCCACGGCTGCAGTTCATGAAGCCCACGCCAAAGCGCAAAAAGAAGCGGAAGAAGCCGCCGCAAAGGCACAGCAAGAGGCAGATGAAGCCGCCGCTAAAGCGCAAAAGGAAACCGAAGAAGCCGCAGCCAAGGCGCAGAAGGAAGCCGAGGAGGCAGAAGCTAAAGCCAATGCGCCACCCCCGCCGCCAGAGAAGAAGAAACCTATCAAATTCAAAGATGCTATTGGGAGAAAGTTCAGCTTTCCGTTTGAGCTCTGTGCGACTTGGCAGGTAGGCGAACTTTCCTAACAAGCAGATCCCCTTGTGCTGACCGCCATCGCAGGGAATGGAAGAGCTTATTCGCCAGGCTTTCCTTCACATCGAGGTCATCGGACCTCATGTGGCAGACGGTCATTATGACCTCGTAGGGCCAAATGGAGATATCATCCTGCCTCAGGTCTGGGAAACGGTCGTCGAGCCTGACTGGGCTATTACTATGCACATGTGGCCAATTCCCGAAAAGCCCAAGGAAGAGCCGGCGCCGCCACCCCCCGAACCTGAGCCCGAAAAGCCGGCTGATCCACCGGCCGAGCCGAAGAAGAAGCCAGATGGTAGGATAACCAGCGCTTTACATGTCTGACGATCGCCGCTGACTTGACATCAGGGCCCAAAAAACCAAAAGGCGGAGCTCCACAAGCCGGCAGTTTTGCGATGTGGATGCTAGGAGGCACCAATCGACGAGGCGGCAGAGGGGGCCTGAAGGTGGAAAAGAAAACTGAAGCCCCAGCCCCGTGAGAAATCAATTTGTGTGATCTCTATGCTTGAACTAGTGTGGTCAATGAACCTACTATGACCTTTTCGCTGTAGTGTTTATAAACATGTGGACTATGTGGATCTGACTTGATATCGCTCGCTTGAAATATGATGAATAATATTGATATGCCTATCTATAAAACGTAGACTCTCTATGTCATGAGCTGTCCTTGCAGGAAAGAAGGGTGCATCTATTCAGATAACTAAACTTAGAGAGGAGAAAGAAAGAGAAAGGAATCTAAAGACGCGCCATCCTTTTCTCTCCAAGTCATAAGACTCAGTCTAAGGCTTCCTATCCATCTCTACTATATTAGTCTTATTATTTAACATCAGATATATGTAAGAAGTCCTGACTTCATACAATGTCAGAACGAAGCGTTGGCGATACGCCGGCGATTCGCATATGAATCCCCAACTCCGCAGAAGCAGGAGGTTTGAACCAAGGACATGGATACAACATAGAAGGTCCTAGAAGATTCTATCCTCCATAGAAACAGGGGTAGTGGTCATGCGATATTACCATGTCATGAGTCATATATATAAAGACATAGATTAGTTGACGGATCATCATCCAGTCATCTTATAGAAGCGCTATAAGATAGGAAAGTCCCCTAGAACTTTCTCACTTCTACAAGAATCAGTTTTTAAAACTAATCTATAAGATTTCCACTCTAAAAACCAATATTAATTTATTAATGATTCTATAATAAATCGGAACTATTTCCTTTTTAATATCTTACTAGATTTATAGACTGTATATCTAAATCTATATATCTTTTACAATTTTTAATTCTTCCTCTTTAACTTTTTAAGAAATTAAGAAAGAAGGATTTTTAATGAATAGCTATTTTACTAGGATTTAAGGAAAATAATAAGATTTAGATAAAGGATCTAGTATTTAAATTTAATGAGAATTAGAGTTTAAATGTAATATTTAAAAATAATTTCTAGAATATGATAATAGAGAGGATATATTTTTAGATAATCTAATATAATAATTATCCGGTCCGGCGCTCGTCGGGTCGTCGGGTTAATGGGCTCATCGGGTCGATCTTACTAGTAATTACCAGTAATAACTAGTAATAAATAAGGTTTTAAATTAGGGTAAGGTACTTTCGCTTAATCTAGTCAGGTCATTAGGTCAACACACTGGTAAATGCTAGTAAGAAAAAATTAATTCAGCATTTTCTTACTACTAATTACCACTAAAGCCTATTATAATCAACATGATAAACTTTTTCCCTAAAATTGTATATATCTTTTCTAAAAAGGGATAAGACTTAGAGCTATATTTATTAGGACCATTTATTTTTTACTACTATTTACCACTATTTATCATATACTATCTTCTCTTTGAAAAAAGAAAGATATATTAAATTCAGAATACTAAACTTAATATCATGTGGTTGGGTTATATAATTGGGTCATATATTCAGTACATTATATATTATGAAAATATATACTGGAAAGGCCTGACCACCGGTCAGTTAGTAAAAGTATCCACTAATAGGAGAAGAGCCTGCCCACTCCCCAGTTAGTAGGGTGTTAGGGTTCTGTCCCCAAAAGGATACAGGTATGCTATGAACAAACAGGTTTTAATAAAGAACGGTAAACTAGCTACTGGTGTGAAGGGCTATAGCTGAATTAATGCAATTGAACTAGGCCAACATACTTATAAAGGTTATATGTTTGCAGGTGTATTGCCCTGTTGGTCAGGCAAGGATACAATGATTCGGAGAGAAGGAAGGGAGATAGTATTCAGGGATCGCTATAGAATCAGGGCCTATTCGGGGATGGTTCAAGACTGATTCTTAGAGAATCAGTCGAAGCGGGGAAAGCTCCCTTTTATATAGAAGCCTCAGGCAGGGTGATCTAACCTTCCCGTGATCGATCCTTAGTAATAGGACTTATATAGTTCTGTTAATTGCTTAGTCCCTAGGTTATCCTTTACAATTATACTCCCTTCTAAGTATAAATATCCTGTAAGTAAAAATAGCTTACTTTCCAAAGAATTATATATAAAAGGTCTTTAAATCAATCTTAATCTAGTAAATATATCTATTTTAAGATCCTAAAATAATCTTACTACTTCTTTCAGAATCTAAATACTCTTTTATCGGGATTAGATCCTTTTATAACTATAATTTATAGACTTAATAATAAAAAAGTAGCTATTTACTTTTCTAAATAATCTTAGAATATCCTTCTTTACTATTCTTTAGATTAATCTTTAATTGAATTAATCCTGAATAACTACCTTTCCTCTTATCGTTATAGTGATACTCTTAGATTATCTAGATCTATATCTAGATCTTTTTTTTTATTTCTTTTATTTAGATAGATTATAATAGCTCTTTAATTTTATAGGTTTAATAATATTTTTTAAGATAGATTACTATTTTTTTTTAGGTAATATATTTTAGTATAATAATTATATTTAAGATAAAAAAGTATATAATAGAATAAATATATACTCCTTTATAAATTAATATTATTAATCCTCTAATAGAGTATTAATATAATAATAAAAAGTCTTTATAATTTAGTATTAATTATTAATTAGATTTATTAGTAGTACTAAACTCTATTAATTATTAATAGACTTTCTATCTAAAGTATAAATATAGTAAAAACTATTAATAATATATTTATATAGTTAATTATTATTTACTAATCTATCTATAAAACCTAAGTTATATAATAAAGTATTAATACTAATAAAGTTATATTAATAATAAAGATTTAAATTTAATTTACTAGAGATTCACTAATCTATTATATAGTTATCTTTATTTTAGATATAGAAGCTTCTAGTATAATATTATTATATATAGTTTATATAAACCCCTTATTTCTTTAATAAATTAGCTTTAGATCTAACCCGAAACTAGACTATATAGATAAATATAAATCTTCTCTATATATTCCTATATAACTCTAGTTTTATTATTTAAAATATTATTAAATAATAGTTTCTAAAAACTATAATAGAAGAGATTAAGAATATAATTATAACTATATTAGTTATAAGTCTCTTTATTTAGAGAGTAAATTTCTTAGATAAACTATAATATATAAGATATATAATAGAGATAAGGGTTTTATTTCTTATAATCTACTTTCCTATATAGAGTTAATAAAGAGTTTAGGTCTAATTTATAATAAATATATTTATCTTTTGAGATCTTAATATAAAGTAAGATTCTTAATTTAAATAGATAAAGTAAAGATATTTTAATAGGGTTTTAACTTTTAAATAGTCTTTTTTATTTTAATAATTAATAAATAGATTATTTATTTTCTATTTAACTCCTACTTATCTTCTCTATAAATATTTTATTCTAAATATTCTTCTTTCTTTTTTCTTTATAATCTTTATCTTTTTAATATTTAGAGGAATCCTAAATATCTTATTATATAGAAAAGAATATAGAAAATAGTTATAATATAGATAGTATATTTTTTTTTTACGAAATTATTATAAATAATAGAAATAGTCCTATATCTTTCTTTTTTATTATTAATTTAGAAATAATTTACTAATGTCTCTATAGATTATCTAATTATAAAAGAAATTAATTAGAAAAGAATATCTTAATAATTTATAAATAAATCAAGATTACTTCAATTATTTCTTCTTTAGATAAGAATTTATAAGCCTTTATATATTATTTATATTATCTCTAGAGATTTATTAGTTATATTCTAATAGCTAATTTATCTATTTAACTAAATAATACCTCTTACTTTTAATATTTCAATTATTCTAGATCTCTTTAACTTTCTATTTATTATTATTTTTAAGATTAAATACTAATAGTAAATTAGAGTTATTTAGATAGTAATTCTATAGTTTTAGTAGATTAATTAAAAAGATATTATAAATAGTAGTATATTTATTAAATAGTTAGAGATAATAGATTTATTTATCTACTTTCTTAAGGATTCTAAATAAACTAATAAACTTCAGAGATAATTTTTTAGTAGTTCTCTTCTATAATCTTAGATTTTTTATAGATAGATTAACTATTTATTAATCTTAAATTCTTTCTTTTAATAATACTTATTATAATAATATATCTATATCTTAGTAGTAGATTACTATTAAGTCTAAAGATTCTTATAGAGGTATTCTAATTTCTCAATATAGTTATAGGCTATTAGTATCTTCTTCCTATCTATATTATTCCTAAGATAGAGTTAAAAATTAGGATTATATTCTAGTAAAATTTAGAAAAGGGTTTTTCTAGTTATTAAACTTAAAGAGTTATTATAAATAAATTAAATACTTTGAAGTAGTAAAAATTATTAAACTTAGTTTTTACTGATAAAGTAATATAAATAATATTCTAAAGTCTGGTTAGTATATTTTATTTAACTATTAGTTTAAAGATAAAATACTATTAAAAACTATTACTTATTTTTAGTTAGGAAATATAGTCTAGACTAAAATCTATTAGTAAAAATTGAATCTTAATTAAATATAATACTCTATAGAGACCTAAATTATAATTCTACTTTATTATAAAAAAACTCTATAAATTTAGCTATATTTATTATTATAGATATTAAAAAGAATATATTTTATTTAATAAATCGATCTATAATAATTAAAATAGTATTAATAAGCTTTAATTTCTAGATTACTATTAAGAAGTCTATAATAAAGTTTATTATTAGATTAAAGAAAGGTTATATCGGAATTAATAGTAATTTAAATTTTCTATAGGATTTATACTTTAGTATCTAGACTCTTTAATAATATTTATAAAATCTAATATATCTCTTTATATTATCTTATAAATCTATTTAGTAATAATTATATTTTAGTAGATTTTCTATTTTAATCCTATTAAAATAGTTTATAATTAGATTATTATAATATAATTCTAGTAACTTTTATTTAAGATTCGCTCTCTTAAATATATAAATCCGCTTTTAGAAATATAATTAGTTTTTAGATAAAATTAATTAACCCTTTA